GTGACGTGTCAATCTCTAAACCAGGAATTGATGGTCGCATTTGAAGGTCACGAGTACATTCACTGCGAAATAGTCATTTCCGAAGGAATCCTGGACATCTCCACAATTTGGTACGCGAGCTGCTAGGGGTGTGTTGTTTTGTAGAGGACCAGCATGGACTAAGTCCAGTATACATCCCACGGCGCTTACGAGTGGGGGAATGCATGCACCGACGCAACCAAAAAAAGGGCTTGCCAACGCATAATGGCGAATCCCGTCTCCAAAATGATGTATGCAATGCCGACAAAGGATTATTTGCCATTGTCTCGTTCCCTGATTCGTCTGAAAAGGAAGGAAATTCCTTGGAATGATTGACCAACTGACCTTGCTGATCTCGTGACGGATTTGTGTAATTATGCTCAGCAAAACGATTTACAAATGGGTTGACGAATAGAAAATGGCAGGACATCCAAAGAGCTGAAGATGCACCTCGGGGCGGTGTGACAGCGAAGACTGCCTTTGGCAAATCGACAAGGGCGTTTTGCGGATGAAAGAGCGCTCCAGCCTCTTGTCACATCGCAAAACTGGGAGACGATGCTGACAGCGCCCGATTTGAGCCCCGGGCGGAACGCCTATTTCCATCAAAGTGCAAGTTGAAACGGCCGGAGCGCGGAAGCGAGGTCCAGAAGAAGAATGGAGGAAGCCGTCGAAGCTTCGCTGCCGTGTATTGGTGCTAATGCCTGGGCGGCAGCGAGCTGAAAAGAAAAGGCCTTTGGTTCACGACGGTGGTACCCAGCCAATTGAGGCCAAACGGGGCGCATGGAGGGCCAATGGGTATTCTAGTCAGGTCTGGTCCAGGCATCCCCCACGTCAGAGGGCAGCTGGGACAAGGTACCCTGTCCCCGGCCGAGGCTTCATGGCGTCGGGCGCACAAGACAATGATGTGATGAGGCGTGGCTAAATCTGGGGTGCGTCTGCCCATCAGGAGGTCCTGCTCTCGCCTTATCTCCCGGCCAGTGAGGGCGTCCGACCTACCCGACAAGCGAGGGAACACGACGTCAATTCGATCCACTTCGATCCGGTTATCGGCCTGGCGGCGCCTCTTGTGCTTTTCTGAAACAGGCACAGGTCGGCCTCTTCGTTCTCCTTCCCGGCGTTGCGGAGAAGGGAGGCTAACAAGGCCCAGGGTAAAGAGGACAAGTATAGATCAATAATCAGCACCGGACACAGAGCTGTACCGCCGTACCCAGTATTCGCGCCCGAAATGACTGGGCTAGCTCTCAGAAGCAGGGTCAGCAGCCCTGGGTTGCATTCAGATGCCTGTGCAATGGCCGGCTTCTTTTGTCTCCATTTCATCTCGGTACCTCGTTTGCGCGCCTGGCCAAGGCAGAGAGGACGGTGTGCACCCTGACTCTTGTTCACTCCCGACAGACGATCACCAGGGGGCCGAGAGCGACGTGGACAGGATTAGGACCTGCCGTTGTCGCAGTGAAGGAATATAGTACGAGACAGGTAGCTTTGGTCGACCCGCAACCGGATTTGTGGACTCGTGGACATGTGGGCGTCGCGGACGTGTGGACTTAACTTGGTGAGGCAGTGTTGATGAAGGGGGAAAATTCAGACAGTTGGCTGTCCACGCTCTGCCGAACGGAAGCTGGGTGCCTAGCGTGGGCTAGTGAGGCCCAACGGGTCGGTTCTTCGATACGCAATACCTGTCATTTCAACTCACTTTTCACTCCGCCATCCACCCGTCAAAGTATCGAGTCTGACATCAGTTCGAGTCAACACCAAACGGAGGATTAACCACGCAAACCACGCAGACCACGCCCGCACATAAAATCCGAACAGGAAGTGGTCCCAGGGAGCTCCCATCGACATTCTACGACCGCTGTTTCCATGTGAGATCGGCTGTACATATGACCTGCAGGCGAACTACCCAACTTCTACGGAGCACAGCATAATCGACTCTGCACCGTCCAATGCCACCAAATGCCAGCGAAGGACTCCGCTTTCTTCATGGGGCAAACGCTCTGGAGTGCCGTCGAAGGCAACGCGCCCTTGTCAGACAGGGTCAGTGCCTCTACCAGAGGGCCTACGAGAAGGAATACTCTTGCGTCAGACCACAAGGGTTTCTTTCATCGCATCGGGCTCTCTTCTCGTGCAGGTTGAGGGAGCCTAGGCTAGATGGAGGATGCGTGTGCGTGCACAACAACCGGCACGGGACAACATTCTAGATGGTGAGCACGGTGAACACCAGATTGCAATCTGGTCCAAGCGGTGGTCCTCAGAGTGGGGGTTTGCGACCGTTGACTCGCAGCTGCAGCGGAGGATCGAGAAAGATTGGAGATGGCATCTGCCACGTATATGGCGCGGTGCAGAAATCGCCATTCCATGCATGTCAACTCGTGCATTCATGATCGCGTTCGGTCCAAAGGGTTTTAGCAGCGAGCGACCTAAGCCGCAGCTGGTCGGCACGATGCGACAGGCGGGTTGCAGATGCGCGATTCTTGAATTCGTAAGGGCCAGTTCTTCTGCAGGTTCATGAGCTCGTGTCGGCGCGCTGAAATGTGGAGGGATTGCATCGTCAGCGGACACATCGAACGACCAGATTTGGTCCTGTGCAGCAGAAGAGGTCAGCGCGGAGTGGTGAGGCGAGGCTTTTTGAAGTGTTCTGTCTGCCGTCTACCTCCTGTCCGAGGAATCTGCCTGACCCAGAAAGCGCTGTTGCAGAAGAAGCTCATGCCGTCAGCTGAATTGACGATGGGGCATCCCATGTCAGTTTGCACGTGCCCCAGACCGAGTGGTATCTCAGTCCGACCTGACTACATGCTACACAAAAATGGACTCGTTACTAGGCAATTGCCCGTGTATTTTGGACCACAATTTACTGTACTTGTACAATGTGACGGACGGAACCGGAAGCTGTGGAGGACATCGACTTGAGTAAGCAGAGAGTGAGGTAGGAGTGGAAAAAAGGGGGGAACTGTAGGAATGGACGGACATGGGCGCAAAAGCATTTTCTAGAGCCAAGAACCCAAAATGAGTGAAAGATTTTGTCGTGATGGGCGATGGCAACAGATGAATCCTGGAGGCGAAAAACAGTCCAAGAAGCGAGGATGGAGGAGACAGGGGGAGGGCAAGGGCAAGGGCAGAACAACGATGGAAACATTGCAGGCAAGGGCGTGACGGAGCTGTGGCCAAAGTATGTACGTAGTGGCAGTACCCCGTATGTAGTGCCCTTTGTTGTTGTAGTAATAGTTGGCCGGGCATTTCATTTTCGGGGATCAGGGGGGAAAAGAGCGGATTGCATGGGTTGCCGAGAAGAAAAAAAAAAAGTGTAAAACAGGGAGGGGAAGAAGGAGGAGAAAGGAAGAGAAGGTTACTGCGAGAGCTGTTTGCCCCTGTCAACCACCCGCTCCGCCAACTTTTCCGACCGAGTTTAGCCAAGCGAGAAGTGGAGGCGAAGAAAAAGGCAGAAGAGAGCAAGAAGAAGCCTGTGGTGTTGCGGCTTTGTTGAGTTGGGTGCCGGGTGCTAGGCTGGGTGGTATGGAGGAGCCCAGAGCCCAAAGGAAGGGAACAAAGGGGCCGCGGTGCCGCATCACAAAGAAATCTTTTCCCTCTCTTTTTCTGCAGGTTAGAATAGCTGAATCCCGAGTTGTTCGAGGCAGGAAATGTACTGTAGGTCACTGTAGGAGGCGCCAGCAATACAAAGCAGTCATAGTGCCCGGAAATAGAACTGGAAGGATGGAATAATGCTGTGAAGGGACCGAATACAGCTGAGGGGCAGGTACCTAATCGAGTACCGACTTTGTTATTATGACGGCAACTCCTCATCATCATATTACCAATTCTTACCATGTCAATTACACCCTCGTACAACTCCCGAGCCACACCCCGACGCCCAACCCCCCCTTCGGCCCAGACTTGGTCAAAAGGGGGGAGCCCTGTCGAGGAACAGGAAACGTGGGAACGCCCTGAACCTTCCCTGACCGTTGTCCCATGGCTTGTGGCTCATGGTGCCATACCATATCCCACGGCCACCACCACCTAACCTAGTACTGGGTAACTAGGTAGACGACTAGCTGAGATCCACTCGCATCTCCCAGACTCCCACACCCGGCACCCGCACACTACCTAAATTCATCATTCGTGCATATCCCAAGTCCTCATTTCATCCTCATTTCTCCGCCCTGTCCTTTTTCCCTCTCTCGCATTTGGCCTCGCAAACACGACCGTCCCATACACTCCCTTGACTCATTACTCCTCCCAACGGACACCACTGGCCACTTCTCCTCCTGCTGTGCTGTGCACAAGATAATTTAATTACTGCTGTATCGTCCCCAATTAGGAGCAGACCTGCTGGCCGTTACATCTGCTTCGTCCCTTCCTTTTGTTCGAGATCCTCTACATACTTCCCACCCCCCCTCGCGAACTTCACAAGAAGTCCAACTCACCACTCTTCTCCTTGACACCCTTCGTCCGCTATACCTTCTGAAGCCTTCTTGTCCACCCGAGCTGACCGGTATCTGACTGCGTCCTACGGCGCTCTCACCGGGTGCATTCTCATCTCATCGACCACCGCGTCGCGCCACTTGCGCCTGCGACAAAACACCCTGCAAGCCTCCCACGCAGCTCCGAGTCTGCAAGGCCAGCGTCAACCCTCTCGACGCCTTGCGCACCCCCCTCCCCGATCTGACACTGCCACCATACGGCAACGCGTTGTACTTGCGTCTGAACCCTGGCCTGCATTGCAGCTGCACCAACACAAATCCGGAGAGTGCCCTACACCACCATCAGGCGTGCGCCCACATGGCCTTTGCCTAGGGTTGCTGGATGCTGCATGCCACACTAAGTTCTCTACAAGCTCGGGGGCATTGATCCGGATCTCCCACCGCGAAATCAGCATAATGAAGCCGTCGAAACGCTATAGACAGAGCTGGACTCCCCTACATTGTCACTCTCGAACCTGAGCCTAGCCGAAGAGAAACTCCCATACCCATTAGCTTCTGGCGTTCTGCGCCATGATCTCTGCTACTCCCTCGCCCTCCGCCAGGGCGTTGCGGAGCCGCGACAACTCCCCGTCGCCTCATCCGCGTTCTCTGGGTCGCATGCCCTCCAACCAGCGGGTGAACACGGCTCTTCATCCTGCCTCAATCACTCCGGTCTCCGCCAACAGCACATCCTCCATGACCCAGAGCCCCTATATCAGCTCGATCCAATCTTCTCCATTGGTGTCTCATCCCATCCACCAATTACCTCACCTCGGGAACCCCGTCCCATTTGAGCTCGGCGAGAGCCTCGTCTTCCCTCATGTGTTTTCACCCCCCAAGGAACCCTCGGCAGGCTCCAAGGTTGGAATCATGCGCAAGCTCTCCCAAAGTGCCAAAGATGGCGTGTCCTCAGCTCGACAGACTCTGCGGAGGAAGGCCTCATCATCTGCCCACTCCCGGCGTGATGGAAGCACTGGCCCAATCACCAGACGTCGCAGTGACAGCAAGAATGCCGTTACGAGTGGTTACGCTGTGGAGTCGCCGTCTTTGGACCCCTTGCCCCTGGATCTGCAGACGGGCTTGGGACTGTACGCTGGTGACACAATGAGCATCTCCAGTGAGCCCACCACATTGATAGACACGAGTCCCGAGGGCCAAGCTCCGTGCGTCCCGGAGCATCTGGTGGCGGGTTGCTTGTTGACCAAGATCACCAAGAACAAAAAACAAGAGAAACTATTCTACATGGACGTCGAGGGTTCCCGTGTCTCGTGGAAGGGTGCTGTGACAACCAAAGTCTTTCATATTGACAACATCAAGAGCATCCGGAGTGGCGAGGAAGCTGCCAGCTACCAGTCACAGCTCCGTGGTGAAGCTGTCGACCCGGAACTGTGCTTCACCATCAACTATACCACGTCCGATTCGGCCAAGCAGGTCAAGTCATTACATCTCGTTGCTCGCAACCACCAGGATCTTCGACTATGGGTCGAGACCTTGGAAAGCCTGGCGAAGCATCGAGAGGAGCTGATGACGAGCATGGTCGGATCGACCGAACGCGAATCCGTCGTCCGAGCGCACTGGGACAATGAAATGGCAAAGCGGACGGCCAAACACAAACATCGCCAAAGCCGACGGTCTTGACCTCCCGTCCATACAGGTGCTTTGCCGTAAACTCCACATCCACATTCCCGAGAGGGAGTTGGAGGAACATTTTCACACTGTCGACGTCAACAAGTCGGAACTCTTAGACTACCCTCAATTCCGGGAGTTCCTCAGACGTCTTCGAGAAAGAAGCGATATCAGGAAGATCTTCGACGAACTGAGGGGTGACGATTCCGGGGGCGTTACGAGGTCTCAGTTCATTGCCTTCCTGAAGCGTCATCAAGGGATTCATATCGATTCCCTTTCCGAGTCTGATGTCTGGGAGGAGAAGATCAACGACTTGATAGCAATGTCATTTCCAGATGATCCCGTCATGCAAAGATCCGGTCTCATTGACGCTAACGCCTTTGCATCATTCCTTGTCTCCAAGGACTGCCATGTCTACGCCAAGCCCGAAGCTTCGGTTCCCAACTTTGATCGACCTCTGGGTGAATATTTCATTTCAAGCTCACACAACACATATCTGACCGGCTGGCAAGTGGGAGGCACCGCTTCAGCGGAAACCTACATCACTGCCTTGCGACACGGATGTCGCTGCGTTGAAATTGACTGCTGGAACGGTCAAGATGGCAACCCGAGAGTGACCCACGGTCGTACTCGCACGAGTTCGGTTCTTTTCTCGGACTGCATCAATGCCATTCAAAGATGTGCGTTCGATGTCACGCCGTACCCGGTGATCATTTCCCTGGAAGTTCACTGTGATGCCGAACAACAAGCCAGAATGGTGCAGATCATGTGTGACGTGTTTGGGGAGCGCCTTCTTCTTTACCCTCTGCCTGGCTTTACGGCGCAGCTGCCTTCCCCAGAAGATCTCAAGTACAAGATCCTCATCAAAGTGAAGTCCACAGAGCTTCACGCTGACCTTGCAGCCTCGCGGCGTCCTGCTCCTGTGAATCGAGATCGGAGCGCAAGTTCTCCGAACAGACTCGGGGCCCAACCGACGAACTGGGTCCTTCCACCAAAAGTACCCTATGTCTCGAGTCCCGCGTTGGTTACGCCTCCAGAAACCATCTATTCACCCACTGACCGATCGGTCACGGCAACAAGCGGAAGCAGTGCCGATGAGGAAAGCGATGTCGCGCCGAACTCACCTTCGACCATTGAAAGTCAGCGGCGTGCCCCAAAGTTGAGCAAGGTGGGCTCTCATTTGTCTGCTCTCGGTGTATATATGAAAGGCTATACCCTCCGCGATGCTAAGGACCTTCGTTTTCAACAATTCAACCATATATTCTCGCTCAACGAAAACAGAGCCATCGAGCTCTGTCGTTCTACCGAGCACAAATCTCTGTTTGAGGACCACAATCTCCACCACCTGTGCCGAGTTTACCCCAAGACTCTGCGCTTCCAGTCCTCCAACTTTGATCCCAATACCTTCTGGCGGAGGGGTGTCCAAATGGTCGCCTTGAATTGGCAGACCTTCGACGCTCATATGCAGATGAACCAAGCCATGTTTGCCGCCGGTACAGACGCGTATGGCTATGTGTTGAAGCCCGACTATCTCAGAAAGCCACGGACCAAGCACGGAGATTTCGAGCATCGGGTCAAGCTGCCCCGCTATAAGATCAGATTCTCCGTCCAAGTTATTTCGGCTCAACAGTTGCCTCGAGCGGCAAACATGGGCAAAGATGCCCCATTGAACCCGTTTATCGAAGTGCAAATGTTCAGCGCAGAGGACCGAGCTCGGGGGATAGCCAACGGCACTGGTGGCACCGAGACCTACTCGAACGGCTACCACGGCATTGGATCGCCCTATCGGAGGCAGACGCAAATTCGGTTTGGCAATGGGTACAACCCTCAATTTGGGGAAAACATCGAACTTTCGCTCGAGACCAAATACCCTGAACTTGTTTTTGTTCGATTCATTGTCCTCAATTCGGATGACGGAAGACACACGGGCAAAGGGGTCAAACAGCTTGCGGCCTTCACAGCCAAACTCGACAGCCTGCAGAAAGGTTATCGACATCTCCCCTTGTTTAATGGACAAGGAGAAGAGTTCATATTCTCTACGCTGTTTTGCAAGATCGCCAAGCAGGAGCCCAAGTTGATGCCCTGGTCGTTGCAGGACGTCGCGGAGCGGACTTCCAGACCTAACGTGCTGCGAGGTTTCCTTTCACGCGGCCTGTCCAGCGATCGAGGCAGGGAGCGTGGGTCCGGCGTCGAGGAACCAGACCCTTCCCGAGCAAGATCCAATCGTGAGACCGAGGAGAAGGCTACCAAAAAGTAAGGGAACTGCATTTACATCAAGCATACTTGTATCAACGGTCGACAGACAATGGCGCGGGAGTTTGGTTTTTTTTTTGGTTTTGTTTTGTTTTGTTTTTTTTACAAGATACCCAAAAAAGCATATATGACCTGATGACACACAATAGACTGACACCCGTCTGGCAACGGACATTTCTTTTTCTTGTTGCTACTATTGACGGTTCGGGGAGGCTCTTTGTTGTTGTTATTAGTACCAAACGAAAAATTGTTCTTATGTACCATCATATAGACCACGGGGGCCTGGCAAAGGCCGCGTGAGTGTTGGAATACTATTAGTCCCTAGGGAGGGAGTCAATTGAGACTTTGCAATTACCATCGCCGGGTTGTTGTTGTTGTTTTTATTTTTATTTTTTTTTATTTTGGTTTGTTTTGTTGTTTGGCATATTACTCCTGATTAATACCGACTCGCCGAGTAGTAAATGCCCCTTTTGGGGCAACCGCTGGCGCCGCTCTACAACTCGTCCGGCATGTCGCGGCTGTGGCAGGGATCCTTTTCTTTCCTCTTATTCCACCTTCACAGTTGCCTGTTATATACGGTGTAATGTTGGCCTCGTGATACCTTACTATCTTTCCAATGAGGCGAACGACGCGGAGCCTCATAGTCAACGCCATCTTATTCTGGGCAGTTCTGTTCCTGATCATCTACACCAACCATGATTGGGGATCGACCACCAAGATCTTTGCATGGTCTAGAATCCACTACAAGACCTCTTCGACCGCCCTACCTGAGCCTCGCGGCAGCTGTCCCGGCTTGGAAGACAGCGCAAAGCCCGCACTAGTGGTGGCGAGAGTTGGTGCCGAGGACCGTTCATGGCTTGACGCCCTAGCAGCCTCATACCACCTGTGCGTGTACAGGACTGATCTCCAGGACATGACCTCATGGCAGCTCCAAGTGCCTGCGAATAGGGGCCACGAAGCCATGGCATACCTCACATTTCTGATCGACAATTACGACCGCCTGCCTGCGGCTGGTGCCGTCTTTGTGCATGGCTCACGATGGGCATGGCATAATGATGCTCCCGATTACGACAATGCTGCTCTCCTTACTGCTTTGAATGTATCGGCTGCTCTCACCCCGTTCGGATACCACAACCTGCGTTGCGACTGGAGCGCCAGCACCTGCTCCCCCTCCGAGGCCCCGGCACAGGGCAGCCTGGAAACATTGGCGCGCTCTGTGCTCGAGCCGTGGAACTTGCGTTTGGTCTCGGACAGGGCACTACCACGTGCGATCGCGGACTTGTTTGGCGGCGTTGGATCAGATGTGGACCCGGGCTCTGCGAGGTTGTTGCTAGGTCGCTCGGATGCTATTCGGTCACAATGCTGCGCGCAATTTGTCGTCTCGCGAGAGCGCATGTGGCAGCACGCCCGTGACGAGTATATCGCCCTCCGACAGTGGCTGTTGGATGAGGGAGAGAGTGCTGCACCCCCGGACGACCGCATCGCAGGCCGGATCCTGTCATATATATGGCACATCCTATTCATGCCGCAAGGCGAATCTTCTCACATTGATCTAAAGCAACTCAATATTTTAGCATGCCCTCCCGCCGACGAATGCTACTGCCGCTTGTACGGCCGTTGCAACCTCGACGGCTGCTCAAGTCCCGGTCATTGTCGTGGACAGTATGTCTTGCCACCGGACTTTCGACTGCCGGATGACTGGGCGGTCAGACATTCGTGAGTAGTAGCAGCGATTGTTACGAGGCTCGCGATGGAATGAATGTCGTACAATGTGTCGTCTCATGGCGTCAGCCAGTCATCTTTAACAAGCAGGGACGAACGAGGCGAGCGTTCATGTTCCAACAACCAAGAGAAACTCATCACGAAGTCTAGAACACGTGGCCAAGAACGAACAATACGAGTCAGAGGCTGAAAAGCCCAAAAACGACAGGCTTGTGGCCGTTTCAATAGCGCAGGACCTCGTTTTGATGGTGCCGTATCGCATCCTCCGGCGGAACACGTGTCGACCCCCTATGGCTATGCAAGAAGCCGTTTCGGGCTTCTCAACCTAATGGTTGGAAATGAGGCTGGAACATTAGCCCCTGGGCTGAATGTTGCTCACGCGATGACCCTGGGCACTGTGAGGCCAGCTATGCTATTCAACGGGCGTTTGGAGGCTTATTTCGGCCTCTGGGTCCTTTGACCATGCTCTCGGCCTCTCGTACAGACGATCAAGCTGAGAAGAAGGGGTAGTGGGAGTGAGAAGAAATTCTTCCGATTTATGCGACCTTCCTCAACATTCTTAGTTCCACCAAAGCTGCTGTCCTTCCCAGGGACCTTACTACTGACGCGCGGGAAGAGATTAGTAGCCAGCAGTCTAAAACATCAATGGCATGAACTTGGTCCTCGCCCTCCTCCCAGTCCTGACGGCCAAAGTCCAAAATATCAAGCTGATTGCCAGTCGCACCTTTCCCGCATCGTTTGTGGTGGCTGAGGCTGGTGCCAGGCGAGTGTTGTCCAAGTTGTAGCTGGGCATTCTACTGTGGAGCTTCGAGCTCTACCGTAACATCCTGGCCGAGTTGTCCTACGCCCACGACGAGTATGTGAACCGATTCATGCCCAAACTGAGGCATATCCCTTCGGGCCCGGCTGAACGGCACACGTCGAGCTTCAAAATCAACCACAATCCAGCCGAAGTCTACATTGCCGAGACCATTCTGGCCGTCCAGACTGAGCCAACGGTACTCGTCGGTTACTGACTGTCGTGCAAACCGTCTGTGTCTGCCTGTGGCCAGGAGCCGTAGTTGTGGTTTGGATTGCCCGCGGCCAAGTCAAGTCTGAAGCCCAACTTAACCAGACGGGATCCCCTGAGTACCGTTGTCTCCAGGTACCCACACCAGGAGAGCCCATCACCTCCGAGATCCTCAGTTTCCATCTAAACAACCTCGTTGGGTTCGAAGTTTTCGGGGCGAAGTAGGAACAGCCAATGTTGAGGGTTGCAGGTGCCTTGATCCTCATCAGTAGGGTTGTAGACCTGGTTTTGACTGTGTCAATAGTGGGCCTCATCTCGTGGGCATACCCGTGGCCCGGGATGGAGGTCGCCATCATCCTCACCAAGGTGATATTTTGTCTTGAACCAACCCGGGAAATCGAGATTGCGCGTATTGACGCCGATAGAAACGGGCTAGATGAATGTGGCTCCGTTCTCCTGCCTCTTAAGATCCAGCTCGGCGGTCACTTCGTTTGCCAAAGGTTCACGACCGACCATGATGTGGTCCACGACACCCACGCTAGCCTGGACTGGCAGTCAACTACAGCTGGATTGTGGATTGGGCAAGCATACACAGACGGCGCCGGCGGCTCTCTACAAGATACCTGACTATGGACTAACAGAAAAACCTCACTTTTGGTCGCTGGGGAGACGGAGAAGCAGGACAACTCAAGCACCGCAGCGCGAGTTTCGGGCCGTGTTAGCGAGTGTGGTCGAAGCAAACGTCGTGCCTAGTGAGAACTTTATCGCCGCTGTGGAGCAGGCTTTGGACAATACTAAGCGTACAATGGCGACTAATTGCTTTGAATCTGGTTCCAGAATGTGATGGATAAGGTCGGCAAGGCTCAGCGGAATAGCAGATGGAGACGCTTTCTGTATTCAGCTCAACTTGGGGGATGGAGGTCAAATACTACAAGGTATAGAGATCTGGCTTCCAGAGAGTCTGGACAAGGCAGAATCAATCAATCAATAGCTTTGGCCGCCCGGCCGCCCAAACTACCCGGGTCAGCCTTGTCCCCAGTAAGGCTGACGATATGAACCCCCGAGGTCGCCAAAGGACACCTTCTGCAGTCCAAAAGCCCTTGGCTCGCATGATTCGTAAGGATGACTGAGAGTCGTGTGATGGCCAAACAGCGGACGTTCATCAGATGGATTCTTTTTGGCCCTCGTTGACTTAGTCGCCCAATGGGAGCCTGCTGACCGGGGACATGGCAAATGGTCTGGCCCTTGAGGACCGAGTTGGGTCAAAGTCGGTGTACGAATGGCAACAAATCCGCTGGTCTGACAGGCCGCTATCCCCCGTTTCTCATACATTGGGAGCTGTCATGGGCCTGTCATTCTCTCGATTTGTGGCCCTCAGCTTTGTTGCTTCTCGGCTTGGCTGCAGCAACCACTCCATACCTGCCACCAACTAACTCGACAGCAATTTCTCCTCCTCTCCCCGCCAGACACTTTTCCGTCCTCGATCACAAGGCTGGCCTGCGTGGCTGGGTAAGAGGTAAGAAGGACTCGGTATTTGTACTGTCTTTTTCGGGGTCACAATGCTGCTGCTATCGGCTCCTACCATCTGATGCTTTGGGGCCTTTCGACGCCGTCTCTGTTTTGTGTTCACCGACTTTAGCTGCCACAACCCGACAGTGCCGATGCTTCCTTGTGATATTGCTGTGCTGTTGTCGTTCTTGCCGAGAGTGAGCCAGCATGCGGTTCATCGATCAGTACTTCAGCGATAACCAGGGCTTTCAACTTGACATCGTCGGTAAGTCATGCCATCATCAGGTCTAGGACGGAGAGACACACACGAGGCAGACCGCTAAGCAGTGCCTCTCACACAACAGGTTTCCTCGCCATCCTTGGAGAAGGTTCCGTCGAGACAATCGCCCAAGTTGCCACCCTGAGCTACCTCATCTACCTCCCTCGCCTCATCCCTGCGCCTCAGATTTTCATTCGGCCCTCTCGCCCGGAAAAACTAGAGACGACAGCGGGTGCCAAAGTCATTGGAGTCCACTCAGGCAACACGGGGGAGGATATCCACCATGTGGCCCACGCTTTGCACCGAGGTGACAAGCTGCGTCCAAATACCGTCAGTTGCGTTCGGGTAAGGGAAAACAATAAGCCTCGACCGTCCATCAAGAGGTTTGGCCCACTAGCTTGGTTGGCGTTTTTGGGTGCCGCCATGAGTGGTGCCTTACTGGGGCTTTCGATCTACTATGAGGATGGGTAAGTCGGAAGGGACTTGTCGGATCTTCGGGCGTTGTGCTGAATCGCTGCTTCCCCCAGAATGTCATTGCTTGCGACTGTGTTGCTGTCAACCTTGAGCACCGTCACCGGGATTGCCAACAAGTGGTCACCCACACCCAACGACCCCAAGCCAGATCCCCACTCCCCCCCTGGCGACGTCGTCATCAAATACCCTCAAGGTGCGTTTATTGTGGTGAGTTGCGAAGAACGAACTGCGCGATATCTGTATTTCAATCCCAGCGAGCGTTGCATTTATTCGGTGAAAAGCACAGCAATCTATAGAGGGCTTTCCTTGATTTCGACCCTGTTACTCATGGGTGGCGTTATTTCGCTGGCCAATGCAAAGATCCAGACCCAGACGGCCTTTGCAGGCTCCTACATGCTCATCAATATCTTCTACTGGGTCGGCGCCGCGTTGCCTCCTGCCCAACATTGGGATCTCTCGAGATTGGAGGTGGAACACATCGAGGTTCACGGTGGGACGCCGCCTCGGAACGCCCAACAAGTGGACAACTATTCGCCGACGTATACCGAAGCACTATGGAAGGCGATTGCCGTGACCGGGACGAGCAACTGGGTCAAGGAAGCCGGCTGGGCTCCCAAGACTCCGGCCTGGAGCGACTGGCTCAACGAGGCGGAAGAAGCTGCCGTGGGTGAACCCTTGAAATCGAGCATGAAGGTAGTGGATGGGAAAGAGGTTGAGGTCTGGACGATCCGCAACTGGGACAGTCGAAACGCACTGTCGACGTTGCTACGAACCACGACGGACCGGCTTCAGGCCCAGCCTAAAAGGGGTTGACCAGATGACCGTCGGATAATCCGCCGAAAGAATGCCACAATGCGAAGAAATGTCGACCCCTACTCATACCCATACCCTATGTTCTGATTGCGGCGGTGGTGGACTGGAACACTTTCAACCTGCCTTGCCTACTGGTTGGTATATGAAGCGGCGCACCGAACACATATGATTAATGACACATGACAAATGACAAATGACGAACGAGAACGAGATCGAGAACGAGATCGAGAACGAGACCATGACCATGACCACGACCAACGACCTCCAGAAACAAAATTCCATTCATCCGTCGAACCGTCGATATGTCCATTCATACATCAGGCGATGTGAGAGGGATATAGACAGAAATAAAACCCGTGTATGTAGGCGAGGGGGACAGGTAGTGAGGGAGTACGGAGTAGATATCTATACGTACCCGGTACGGGGAAATTTAACCGATCCATCTTCCCACGGGACGAGACGATTTTAGTGGCTTTGTGGCCCCATTAGTAGCCTGGGTCCACATCACATACAGAGGGAGTACAATATCCATACACGATCAAACCCTCCCCCTTTCTCTCTCTCTCTCTTACCATCTGAGAACCTCTCCCTGTCTACCTAGGTAGGTACGATCACGTCAGCTTGTTTGCCAGCCTGCAGAACAAAGAAAAATTTTGGGTTTTGTGGATTGTGCCAGCAAGACGGAAAATAAACCATGAGAATGCGTCTATTCATCGAAAGAGGGAACTTGTGAACTTGTGACTGGAGTCGCTTCAAAGCTAAGAGCAAACATATGACATTATGACATGTATGGATGTATGTCTTCATTTCGAACTTTCGAACTAGCAAGATCAACGGAGTATCCTCTGCGTACGATATGGTACGATCCCATCTGCTTTACATTTGCTCTGTCTTCTTTCTCCTTCTCATGGTCCGGCCAGAGAACAGGTCGTCGTCCGCATGTCCAGGATTGCTAAACATCAAATCATTACTCCAAGTCATAGAAGGCCAGGTCTGGTACCTATGAGAGATACCCCTCTTCGTCAAAGTCGTCGTCTTAATAGTCGTAGTCGTGGTCGTGGTGTAGGCAGACCGATCTCAAAACAAAACGCTCAGAAGGCAATATTGCCCAAAAACGATCAACAATCCAACAAGGTATACAAGCTTTCCCCCCACATTGCACCTGATGACTCAAATCTCAAATGGTGGTAAATCACACCCTTGCACTCCTCATCTCATCCACAGGTATCAAGCCCGCGTTGACTTGCGCGGCCAGCTGCGATTCCCTAAATGCATTGAACCCCTCGGGATCCTTCTCCCTTAGCGTGAGGAGCTCTTGCGCATTCAATCCTAGCTCGCGCACGACACTGTCTGCTCCTTCCTTTTCCACCTTGTACCGAATATCTTCTCCACGGAATTCCTCCAACTTCTCTCGGAGAGCGGCTAAGTGAGGTGGGTCTGAGTCGGTTTCATGGGATCCATGCAGAGCATCATCCATGCCCGTGGGTTTGAGGACTTCTCTACGGATGGTCTGTCCAAAACGATGCATACGGCCTTCTTCGTCTGTAAAGGCTTTGGCTGCAAGGGACGTGTTGGACGACGTTCGAGATAATTTCAGCGCATATTCGTCTTGTGCTTCGCGTTCGGCTGGGAAGTATTCTTCAGCATCTGCCATCTTCATCATTCCATTCGAGTCGACGGAACCCGATAGCATAGAGGTTTCTTCCATGGATGGATCCGGCGAAGGCATGCCGTCTGCGTGTGGAGGAGACGAGGAAGTGACTTTGGTCTCGGGGTACTCGTCCTCGAATCTCTGTATCATTCGTTGGAGCGTCTGGTCGAGGAAAAGAAGACGTCCTGTACCGAATAGTCAGTGATGGTAACTACTTGGGATCATCTGGGTCTAACTTACGATAGTTGTCATGATTGCCGGCGCGATCTTCTCGGACCAAGACAGGCTGTAACCTTCGCCTGATCTTTCTCGCGCTCTCGCAAAGCTCCAAGCTGACATCCCGGGGCTTGGACACCGTTCTTTGCCGGATCGGTCCCCTCGGCGTGGATGTCCCACTCGCTGTAGGACTGATATTTCTCGACTGGGCCCGACTGTTGCCGTCCTTGCGATCCAAACAAACACCCAAAGCTTTGACTATTCCCGTAGATGCAATCATGTAGTCCTCATCCGGAGCTGGCTCGTCCTTGTCGTAATTTGCCGAGTAACCGTCCATATGACCAACGAGATGGAGTAATACTTCCGGAGCGTCCTTCTCGGCGAGATCGTCAGGCTTGACGCCGACCTCATTCAGAGTCGTGCGCTCCATGTTTCGAAGACTGTAGGCCACAACCTGGGACGCCAGCGCCTTGACAACCTCGCTGCTGTCTGCGCTGGGCATCTCGATCTCCACAGCTACAATAGTCTCCGACACTCTAACCGCGGTCATCAAGGACGCGAAGAATGCGCAAGCTTCCTCTTGTGAGCTGGCATCTCTGGAATTCATGGCGTGAAGGAGAGGAGCATTGTCCAAAATGGTGAGATGAGCCATCGACGGGCAATCCGGCAAGATCTCGGCCAAAGCAATGACTTGCTCAGAGGTCATGCCCACGTCTGAGAGATGTAGACGCTTCAAAGGCACTAATTTTGGAAGCAGCTTTCGGAAGACCGGGACGGCGCTGGGCTGACCGTTGAATAACGCCATGTTGCGGGAGAGGTCAATAAATTTGAGGTTCTTCAATCTCGCGAATGGTATCAAGATCGACTGGAGATCGCTAGGCGTCAGATTGCAATCTGACAAGCTAATTGCGAATAAGGGGCAATTACTGTCGGCAGCTTCTGCAAGGATGTAGGCGATCCCATGTAGGTCGTTGCTTCCGAGGTCGAGACCCTCACAGTGACCGGACTTGATGTATCGCACAAGGTGGCTGAGAGCTTCCTGCTCTATATTGTTGCCTGAGAGCCCCAGCCGTCGGATCTTGCATTTAATGGCGCAGTCCACGAGGTCTCGAACATTTGCAGTCGAAAGGCCGCAGTCGCTGAGGATCAGCTCTTCAAGTTTGTCACCCAAACGCTCAGACAATGCGTAGACAATCAGAGCCCCCAGGTCCATTGGTTTCGAGTTCGCGTCGTTCGGTCCACTGCTGTTGGAGCTCGTTGTTGAGACTGTTCGTGAGAGATCGCCTGACTTCGGAAATCGGATCCCTGACAGATCGATGGCCCTGAGCGACCGTGACATATGCATGAAAAGCCCAATGTGCCTCCATCCCAGATTGGTAATCCCGGGGTTGTCTTTTAGAGAGAGCTTCTCAATAACGCCCATCTGCTCTCTGCCACTCTTCCCGCTGAGTCTCTTCGGTAATTTTCTGTTCTGTCGGGCTTGCTCTGCAGATTTGCAACTTGAAAGGCCTGACAAAATCACTCGGACGCCCTCGTCTGTCAACCCACAATTGTCCAAGACGAGTTTGCGGACGGGGACGATGGCGAGCCAGTCGCCCAAAGTTACGACATCCTGCAGCTGCATCTGATACCCAGAGAGATCCATCACCCCTACGGTCCCGGGGGCTTCTGCCAGTGCTGCCGAGGGCTTGGATATTTGCTCTTTGACTCTGCTTAAAACGGTAGTTTCGCGTAGTTGACAACAGCGTTTGTATATCCGTAGGGGATCCGTCGTACGGCCATCAGCCCCTTCCACAGGTCGTCTGCTCGGGGTTGAGGCGCCGGGAGGCGTGGTGCTCGAATTCGAATCCGACTCGTCGTCCTCTCGTGTCAGCTCCAGCGGTACGAGACCATTTGCTTCGGCGTGCCGCCTTTTTCGCTCTTTTCGCTCTTTTCGTTCGGCTTCTGACCGTTTCTTCTTCTCTTTTTTCCGTGTTCCGGGTACGGCTTGAGGGTCGGGGCCTTGCAACGTTTCTGACGTCTCCTTATCTTTGGCCTCCGTTCTCTCCTCTGGCAGTTGAGCCTGGGGTTCTGGCTGCGGTGTGCTTTGCTCTACCTCTTCCTTTTCCTTTTCCTCAGTTGCCAGCGGAGGATTTTTCAACGCTGCGCCCTCGCCTTTTTCCTTCATCCTAGCATCTTTCGAGTCCTTATTGCTGGTCACTTGCTTGTCGGCTGTAGAGATAGTCTGTTTCTGTACGCTTGTCGCCCCGGGGCGATGGTACTGCTCTGGGTCTTCGTCGGCCTGAGAGGCAAATCCAGCAATCTCTACGTCTACACAAAATGCCACCCTCTTGAGCTTGTTCTGATCAAATTCGCTGATCTTGATGCGTTCACGGTTGGGGTCGACGTTCATAATCCTTCTCGGGCAGATTGCCCCACTGGTTGCGCCTTTGCCCATGGTGGTGTTGGATGAGGAAGACAGCCTCCGCAGGGCGCTCGACAGAAACCCAGGATGTTCTAACTTTGTTTCTTTTCCGGCGGCCACAAGGACCGAAGGTCTTCGAGGGGCAGTGTGGGTGACAACAGTAGGTTTTGATTCTTCTTTCTTGGACTCTTTCTGCCCATCTTTAGCTGATCGATTCTTTTCGAAAGGATTCGTTAACTCGATTTTGGGGCTCGGCTGAGGAGACGCCGTTAGAGCATTGTTCGATTGTTGCACGTCAATGCTGGAACTCCGCGACGGCGTGGGTGAATTTGCAGAAGAGAACTTCGAGCTGAAACTTGCAATCCAAGAGCTCCTCCTGCCCTCTTTCTTTGGGGTACCTGGCTTTAGGCCTTTTTTATTCTCCTCCGTGCTTTGGCCTCTCGACATCGTAGGTCTGGGGGATTGGCTTTGACCGGGCGGGGAGGTAGTCGGAGGCGTCTTCTGCGTCGCAGACTGTGCGCGGTTCTCCTTGCCGTTGACGGTAACGGCAGGCTGCTGTTGCTGGGATGCTGGAGGCACTGCTCCATTTTGCGATTCTTTGAGAGGCGTGTGATCGGGTTGAGGCTGTGCCAGTGCAGACTCGCGATGATTGACTCGAGGGGTTGTGGAGGACTGTGAATCTTGTTTCTTGCCATTCCTCTCTCCCACCGAATGAGCCAGATCTGATATAATGGTTAGTGCTTTCCCTCTCTTCAAATGTCGGTAGTCAGAAGAAGTAGAAGCAGGCGCGACTGAGGGCCGACATTGTGGGACCACACCTTTCTTGGAATGCAGCAGCCAGTCGACATCGAGACCACTTTCGGTGGCCGCAGCCATTGTGTCCGAGGTACGAGGTAGTGTACAGGCGCCTCGAGGATCAGAATCTGGCACTTGGCTCCAACGAAGACGTATGGACTAGACTGAGGGCATCTGTGGAAAGGAAGGTTGAGTGTAAACTTGGGGGAGCTGGATGACGAGCGATGATAGACTGCGCAGGTGGTCGGCGGGGTTAAAGGTGCAGATGAGCAGGGAAAGCAATGCGGCTATTGTTGTTGGCCAGGAATCGTGATCGACTGTGGTCTGGGCTTTGGGATCTTGTGGCAGGATTCGGCCGCCACTGGAAAGGCCCAGCCCAGCGTGGGAACTCGATAAGGTCACTGAGGCGTGTGTTGCCGTGATGGGCGCTGCGGCCAAAGGTTCAATGCGTCGACAAGTGCCCAGGATCGGTAATAATAGCTGAAGGATGCAGAGGAGAAGGTGGTGGAGTCCCTGGAGTGGGAGCAACAGGAGGGGAATCTAGGGAAGTGGACCACTGACACCCGCAGACAGCAGACACCACTTTCACCACTATCACGCACTGGACACACTGACTGACTTGCAGCTTCTGGCCTCCCTCCACACAGGGGTTCGACGTCGAAAACAATGATATCCCCCCTCGAGTACGAAGATGGAATGGAAACGCTCGCCTTCGCCTCGGCCGAGCAAGAGGCGGAATGTCGGGCAGATCGTGGGAATTTCGGAAACCGTCGTCACGGAACCGACCCTCACTGGCGTCGTCTCTTTGAGAATCTCCAGCCGACGCTTCTCGTGCGTTCCGTTATTAATGGTGCAGCCTCCTAATAGCCCGCCGCACGCGTGACACAGCCTGAAAAAGAGGAAACCACCAGCGAGTTCACGGGGCGCAGAGAAAAAAAAAATTTGGACCAAACCCGCAATATATCTCTCAGCTGTGCTCAAATACCTCTGCAATGTGATGAGTGTTTGATGACATACACCCACCGTGCCACTGGCACGGTTACTGGACACGCTCCCTGATTGTCGTGGTGCCTGGCAGACGGCCCCCTTACCCTTGCTTGCCGGTCTGCTCGGTTGGACATTCTTGGGCATTTGCTTAGACCTGTCCCCAGTGGAAGGCCTTGCCAGAGCCCCAAGAACCTCTGGAGGAATAGGCAAGGAGCTCGTAAACCCACAGGCACAGTAAGGGTGGGCTCCCAGGCACTCAGAGGCGGCCCACCCGTGGCTGGTCAGAGGTCAGCATCTTATGTCAGATAGCGTCGAGACTGTGGTGACTGAAGGCTCGTCGCTCGTTATGTACGTATGGCAAATGGGAATATCACCGTTCGGGCAAATTTTGGGATTTTTTGGCATCTCTCGACCATTCCGCATCAAACTCGGCTGCAGATTGGTGTGCATGTCGATAAATTTGATCGACGTTCTTGGGATCATGACTACATTCTCCTCATTCCGGGTCTCTTCTAGCAAACCAGGGGTCGGAATTCCAAGGAAGGAACCCCGGACCGAAAGCATGACTGCCCCAAGATCCAGGCCGAGTCGTCGGGGGGAGGGACACATCGCGGCCTCGAATCTTATGATTCAATCGTCAACACCCCCATGAACCAATCTCAGCGCCGCCGAAATAACTCCTTTTTGCTGAGGTCCCATCAATGCTTCGATCAATGCACTCAAGAAGCAAGAGCCGCAATCTTCTCCTTGATCCGGCGGTCCTTCTCCTCCTTGGACATCTTGGCCACCTTGTATTTCTTGCCTTCGGCCTTCCACTCCTCCTTGGACTTCTTGTCGCCTTCTTCCTCATCCTTCTTGAAAGGATCCTCACGAATGGCAGCATGGGCCTCGGAGTACATCTCCTCAAGTCCATCCGCCTCGATCTCGGCTTCAATGTATTTGACGAATTGAGACTTGTAGCGCTCTTCATCGTCATCAGCAAGAGTCTCCATGTACTCTGCGACGTGGCCGCCGAAGATGTACTTGCGCAGGACGTCGCTGTCCAACTCCTTGCTCTCCTGGTCGTAACCCGGGAATCGCTTCTCATTGTGGGGAACATACAACCCACCGTCAGAAGCTCCCTTCATGGCACCGAAAACGCGAGCGCCAGTAGAGGTACGATGCAACCCCACATCCAGGAAGCACTTGAAGGGACGACGTTCCTCTCCATCTTCCTCAGCCGCCTCGGTGAGCTTGTATTCTCCATCTGGCTCTTCCACACCGGTGAACTGCTCATCCAAATCCAACTTCTTGAGAGCGCGGCGAGCCAACAGCAAGCCAGTAGCGTAGGCGGCAGACCAATTGGTCAAGCCATTGTTGATGCCATATCTCTTGAGTTCATGCGAGTAGGCCGCAACAAAGACCTTGTCACCAGTGATTTCCGCGGTGACCAATTGGCAGATGATGTCGCGGTTTGTGAAGCGAACAACAAGGCGGTACTTTGGGGCGTTGTACTTGTTCTTGGCCTGAGAGATCAAGCGCTTACGAGCATAGTAGTCGGTCTAATTCCAGCCTTCAGTCAGCGGCTTGTAACAAGTGGGCGCAGTTTCGTCGCCATACCTTGCCAGCTCGTCTACGCTTGTACTTGGTCTGGTAGCGAGAGTAGTAGGGAGAGTTCTTGACACTGTCGTAGGAGCTCGTCAGTTCCAGAAACTTGACCTCGTAGTACAAACCCCGAAATCTTGCACTTACAGCTTGGTGAAAGGCATGGCTGCCGAGTTCAAGAGGTCCAAGAATCAATTTGGTTCACTATGAAAATCCTCGAATCAGCATTTTGCGCTGCAGACCCAATTCCGCAGCAACATGCAGGGATTCTCTCATACATCTTGGCCGTTTTGGAGGGAGAGACTTTTCAGAAGTCTTGCAATGCAATGCAGGACTCAAAAGCGAGCTGGGCTGGAAGATAAACCGAAGAGCAATGAATTGAGCGCCTTGAAGATGGAAATGTGTGCAGCGCCAAGATTTTCAAGCGAGTCGCTCAAACCAGAATTCTTGGGTGGTGGGGGTCCATTTTAGCTCAGCCTTGCTCAGCCTTGTTTGGCTTCGAATTCACCACCACGATCTATACGTGCCGTATTGGGTATACACTTCGGGTGGGCTTAATATTCATCAAATGCTCCAGGTCCTTACCTAAGCCAATTCCGAGTTCGAAATGGTATAAGTGGAGCTTTTCTCGATTTCCCTCAGAAACTCGACATACGCTGCACCTACGACATCACTGATATTTGGGTACGGTATCTCCAGGAAGCGAGAATTGTAGCCCAAATTGACTCTCTACAAAACAAACTACTGGCAAAGACTTGATTTTGGAAGCTCTTCTGCCTAGGAGGTCGGAGTCTCTGGGCTTGCGTCTTCATTCACAATTTGTGGTTGAGATGTAAAAGGAAGGCAGGGTTCCTGAACTGCAAATTCGGACTGTAGGAGAATTTTCACGGTCAATGGGAAGGATAGTGAAGAGAGGCTTTAGCTGCTGCATGAAAGCTCGAACTTAAAGTGTCATTGACACAAGATATACTTCTTTGGCAGTATGACCGTGAGGACAAGGAGCATCAATCTCCTAGTGACCCTAGGTGAAGCCAATTGCTGGATTCAACACTGGGTTCATGCAGTCAAAGGTATCAATGCTTAATCTGACGCGCAAAGTCTCTCCATTTCTCCAATCACACTGCACAGGAATATGGAGAGATAGCTGACATCAGAAATACAAACCTCTCACCTACGCAAGAATTGTCCACTGCAGCGGATTAAGTCCAAATAGTCGTCCATGGCCTCATATCAGTGCACCTCTCCATTCATTGCATACTCTTCGGACCAATTTGTGTCCCAATACGTTGGATAGGATATCCCATCCATTGCGGATCACCGAGGTTTGCGGATTTCCGTAGTGTAGCAGTTGAGAGGCCACCCTTTTTGATTTGAATAGCAGAAAGGGCAAAGATCAGGATTCAAAGTGTTGGTTTCATTGACTTACTATAAGAAGGCTGCCTTGCACAAAGGGGTTGACGGAAATCAGGGCGACAATCTCAGGTCAGGTGAGAAGCATTGTCATATTGTTGGCCGCTGGTGCAAAACCATAGATATAGCGACAGCGAATGTCAAGGTGTGATGTCTTGGCATGCGTATGGAACTGGTCGCCCCGCTCACTTCAAAATCGCTTTCTCTCCGTCGTAAACCCGGTCGACGTTGTTGAACAAGCGCAACAAGCGACAACAATGCCTTCTCCCTCTTCTTCCCGTGGTGGTAAGTTAGCCGAGTACCGATCGGTATTGGCTGATTTTCGGGCCGAGCCGAGCAGATCCCTGTGCTCCAGTCATCGGAATAATAGAAACTCCGCATTCCGATGAGCCTCTTCCCTGTGCTGGAGTTTCACACGTCTCTGACCTTTGTCTCATTCCAGATTTACTACCACCACCAGCACGCCGCGTCCGATCAACAACCAGTAATCTCCCTGCCCTTAGAGGGCATTGCCGTAGCTTCACCCTTCTCAACACTCCAAATACCCCATCAGGGTTCACAAGCGCGTTCCTTCGTTCTCCGGTCGGCTCTCGACGCCAATCAGTCAGTGAGCCAAGTCAAAGTGAGGAAGACGATGAAGGTCTCCGCCAGTTCACAGACGCACAGCTCATCGATCCGAATGAACTGAGCCAGATCCTCCAAGATCATCTCGACAGCGAGGCATCCGTCGTCGAAGAAGAACCTGACCTTGAACCGGACTCAATCTACGTCAACATCCGTGGCCACAGTCCCTGCAGTCCCTACGGCGACATGTCTTCCCCAAACGCGTTTCCTTCCCTGGACACCTCTCTCCCTCCCCCTTCCAACCGCGTGTCATCCGCCTCTTCCACCGCTCCTTCCTCTGTCAACGGCAGCAATGGCATCGGCCCTGGGTCGGGTGCGGCAGGAGCAGCAGGATACATGCCTCCTCTACCGGTCGGACATCAGCAAGACCTGAATCACCTCTTCAACCAAATTCAAGAGTTGGGAGCTCTATTGAGAAGCAACCGCGACAAAGTCAATTCCATCACACGCAATGCTGAGGAAGTCGCGAAACGCGCAAATGGAGCGCTTACAGATGGCGAGTCGGCCCAGCCAGAAAATGACAGTAAGTTTAGCCTGCTATATTCGAGCTTTCACATGAGTTATTTGCTGACTTCTCTGCGCTTTGTAGAAGCGAAGATCCGCGAACTGGAACTGGAACTCGCAAAGCAGAAACACCTCGTCGAACTCTACAAGCACGAACAAAAGGAGAACACAACCTTGATTGGCATGTACGAAGAAGCAATGGGGACTGCGGTCGAACAAATACGAAACTACTGCGGCGACATCGAGGGTCGATTCTTGCGACAACGCAGACATTACAACGACCTCTTGCAGCAGGAGAAGGACGACCACTTACAGTCACGCCTTGACAGGGATCACTGGTACGCGCAAACACTCAAGGTATGTGAGATGATTAGGACGGCGCACCGATTGAGAACCGATGAGTGGTGCGAAGAGTACACCATCATCGCCGCGTTACAAGGGGAGGTGAGGTGCTTGAGACGATGCATTGGAATGGAGCCAGAGAAGCCGGAGGAGGAAACCGGCTGGCCATATCTGAAGGACTTGCCTCTGCCTGAATAAATAAGCATGCATGAATTGAATGAATGACGATACTGCATTGGGAGCTGGGCACTGGCGTCAAGAGGGAAGCGAAAGAAAATTGCATTGCATTGCTGGCGCCAATCACAGACATCACAAGTTTGATGCATCGACGTTGTCGTAGAGACGACCAGAAATAAGATTGAAACCACCTAACGTCTTCTCGGTTCATATCCCCCCCTCGACATCGCTAGACATGTCGACAGTCATGAATTCATCTTCCGCGGTGGAATCTTAGTAGGCGGCGGTAGACACCTCGAGGCCACTGTTGGTAATGCCAGAAGAGGGTCGGTAGGAGGAGGTCCCGACGACGGGGTCCGAGGACGGAGCAGGCAAGGCATGCTCTTCTGCCTTTGAAGGACGGGTTGACATGGTGAGGTCTTTGCCAGTCTCAGCGGCGGTCGAGGGTTGCCTTCATCTTCCGCAGATGAGATGTATGAGGCGGGCGGCTGTCCAGTCGTGATGACCGCAGCGGCAGCGACGGCCGTGTCGGTGGACAGGACTTTGCCGTGTCTCCTTGGGTCTCTCGACGGCGGCAGCGGCGGTGGTCGAGGACGAGTCAAGTCCTCTGTCCCCCCGGTTGAAGGTGTCCTCGGGAATCGCAGACTGCACTGGTTCTGTAAAGCGAGGGTGGTGGCTATAGTGGATTGTCTGGGTGAGGGTATGCTACTATTTGAGGGTGGCCTCTGTTGCGCCGTCGAGGGGGTTCGCGGGAAGAGACTATATGATGCAGCCCTCCTTCGACCCCCGTCTACCACCAGATCTTGTGTGCATGAAGAGCTTTTGCTTCTACTGCTGGACGGCCTCGAAGAAGGCGACGTTGGCGTGGCAGATCGGCTAGTAGTAGTGGCGTCTTGAGGAGGTTCACAGCGATAGCGAGCTGAAGTCTTTCTGATGTCTCCCGGTTCCGGCAAAGGGGCGATGGTGGAGATGCGTCTGTCGTTGCCGCCATGCTGGGACTGGGGCGCAGGTAGGGGTGGTAAGGGCTTCTGCACAAATAGATCATGGGTGTTCGCCCCAGGCACTGGATCCAACGCTGTCGTCATACTTGACAAATGTCTGGTGTTCTTCTTTGGAGTTGGCATGTATGTGCACAAGACTCTCGAATCGTTGGGAGTGGGGGTGGAGATTGCTGTCCGCAGGTCGCCGGGTACTGGGACTTCATAACTGTCCGCATCTGCAAAAAAAGGCCTGGCAGCATACGAATGGGAACTTACGCAGCTAGAGAAACTTGTGTGAGGGGTGTAGATTGAGCGGTCATCTGAAATGGATGGCTCCGTTAGACGGTCAACGCTGTTCAACGTGTGGACTGATGAATCCGTGGTCGACCTCGAAACATTCCGAGAAGTCTTCCTGTACGCCGTCGAGGGTAGAGGTGTAGGGGGCACAGGCTCGTCATAGACTGATTGCTCGGCGTGTGGTCGTGGGCATGTCTGGCAGATACTTGCCAGGCTTTTCTGAGTCTTCAGTGGCCGGACCTGCCTCTCGAGTTGCTGCGATATCTGAAGGGTTGGACTTGAATAAATGGTGTCGCTAGTGCGTTCTTTCGTATAAGCGGTCAATGGAGCTGAAGCACCCCGTCTTGGATGCACAGATTGAAGCAGATTGGGACGACCGGCCGTGGCTTCGACTTTGTGTTGTCTCGTGAGCCTCTCCAGCTTTGTGCGACTAAGGAGTGCCTTAAATCGAGATTTAGCACTCCTTTCAGAAGGCCACCATCCAGATACCTCCTCAGTCATCGTCGTAGGCAATGATCGCTCAGTAGACATGACGAACTGATGACCCAGATTGAAGCAAGATGATGAGATCCCCAAGGCCAGCAGCACTATTTAGTAGGCTCAAGAGCAGGTACTACTGCTTTTGCGTAGGGAATCGAGCTATCCCGTGAAATCGTAGATTAATAGACAGTCGTCGAGGACTAACCACCCGCTGTCTCGGACGAAGGGATGGGATTGGATGAACTGACAGTGTTGAGTCGGAACCCCTAACTTCGATGCTGTCGATGGTTGTTTGTTTTGCCGTGGCGGCTGTGTTTCGGCGTTCTCGATAATGTATGTATAAAGATTTCTGCGAGGTGAGTTGTGGAAGCTGTGATCATGAAAACCACTGTGCCTTCTCCTTTAGAGGGGGTGTTTAGATCGCAGGCGGCAACCAGAAAAGGGCCGAATATCTTACCCGGGCTGGAGTGCCCATCTTGAAAACAGGGCGAGGCAACAAGGGAAGCTCGATGGGCGGCTGGTCTGAGGCGCGGAGTTTGGTATGGACTGGACGGGGTCCGTGCTAGCATAACATAATAAGTTCGAGTCATTGCGGCGCAGCAATGGCATTTGTGGCATGTATGGTGTCACAAGTGACAGGACGAGAACGAGAAAGCATTGCCGTGTTGACAACAACAAATTGTCTGCAAGGGGGGAGCATTTCATTTTTTGAAAGATAATGTATGCCCGTCGATAGAGGGTTGATTTGACAGTCTTCCACATGACAGCAGAAGTTCGCAGCGATAGACCAACGATTGTTAGTGGCGAGTGCTTAAAGCAGCTAACTTGCACAACGAGCAGGATTCTTAGGTCGAAATAGACTCGGTATATGAAATCGTGAGCAAAAAAAGGCAGAGAAAGCGCAGGAGATACTTAAATCCCTTGTTAGCCAACATAGACTAGCCGAAGAAGTTCAACGTCTCCAGATCATGGCTCAATTGGTGATTGGCCTCATCCGAGAAGGCCGTTTCGAAAACAACAAAGAAGGATGGTAGCTGTCTACGAGAGACAATTCAGTGTAGAGAAGACGAGATGAGGTTAACAGCTGGACTGCCCATTGACGAGGAGAGGGGGAAATCGGAGGGTGTAGAGACTGCACGACCCCTACCAAACAAAAGCTCCCAGAAAAAGCAAGGGCCATCCTGTCAAGGGCTCTGCGGAGGGACCAAGCAAGGAGAGAATATGGCCAGGCATTATTTGTGTTGCCTGGGGGAGATGTCGGACTGGTCAGACGTCAACAAGTCGTCCCGGTGAAAGGGGCCATAGGGAGGGGAGAGAAAAGGCCGAGGTGAGAAGAATGGAATCAATGCTCCAAAGCCACATGTGCATGATTCTGAATAGAACTCTGAATGACAAGGACACCCTTAGAGAACAAACGGTGAAGGGAAGAGTAAGGAGAGGGAAGGGAGGTGTTGAGGATGAGGTTGGTGAGGTTAATGAGGGCTTCTCGGCATGCAAGGCTTTTGCCCTTGTCACCTTTCGCTCCTTGCGGTGTATGTGCATCCTGCGGCCGAATGCTTCGCCGTAAGAGCACTCTAATGACGTAATGTGTCTACGTACACAAGGCTGCGCCCTTGACGGCGCTTGACTCCGTTCCATTGATGCTCGTCACCATCTCAATCGTCTTTCGTCTCTGCGGTAAGAAAGTCCAGGCCATCACTTTGATGGCTCGCATACTCATTACAGGCTCATCGGACGGGCTGGGCTCTCTCGCCGCCCGTGCTCTGGTCAAGAGAGGGCATTCCGTGGTCCTGCATGCGAGGAACGACCAACGAGCTCAAGATGCGAGGGCCGCCTGCCCTGGCGCCGAGACATGCGTTGTCGCCGATCTCTCCGACATCTCACAGACCAAAGATATGGCCCAAGACATCAACAAGCTTGGAGCATTTGACGCAGTCATCCATAATGCTGGTCTTTACACAGGTCCCTACCGTAGGACCACAGAGGGTTGGCCAAGCATTTTTGCAGTCAACACTTTAAGCCCTTACATCCTCACCTGCCTGATCGATCCCAAGCCTAAACGACTCGTGTTCGTGTCATCTGGCCTCCACAGTGGTGGCGACCCTACCTGCAAAGACATCACATGGCAAGAGCGTGGAGAAGGAGGCTTTGGAGATTTCCAAGCATACTCGGATACCAAGCTCCATGATATCCTGCTGTCTTGCTTTTTTGCAAGGAGATGGCCTCATGTGAAGAGTAACTCCTTGGATCCAGGCTGGGTAGCCACCAAAATGGGGGGTGCTGGAGCCCCGGGAGACATCAATGCTGCGGTTGAAACGTACGTGATGCTTGCGGAAGGGACAGGTGAGGCCAGGGATGCCTCAGGCAAATATTGGTATCACTCTAAGATAAATTCGCCGAAGAGGGAAGCAACCAACGACGCTGTCCAGCAAAACCTTATCAAACAGTTGGAAGAGCTCACCGGAGTCGAAGTCCCTGACGCTTGAGGCGAGATATATGGGTGACAAATGAACCTTCTGAAGGGGTACATTGATTGCCTGGCGGTTATATCAATGCACAAGTAGGCCTAGCCTGTGGCTCCAAGTGAGGGAGGGTTTGTGACGCCACCACGCAAGCACTAGCTCGCCTTCCAGGAGATGTCAGAGGGCAACTTGTCTCGCGCAATGTCAAGCCTCCGACCTGGAGTTCCGCCCTGCTAATAACCATAGCAACAGGTACTGTGATCAAGGTTCAGGCTTAGGTAAGCACGTTGCCGAGTTCAGCCGAATGGGGCTATGACAAGGCAGCCAATGAACGATGTGAAACAGAAGGCCTGAAGGCTCCACTCCTGAATCCCACACATCGCTCATCTCACATCTTTACATCGGATCCCCCCTTTCTCACCTACTTCACAGTCGTTTCTTCCTGCCTTTCTCATTTCTATTACTCATTCGCCCAGCATGTTTTTCATTTACGCGTTCTGGTCCTTGGTGTTGGCTTATCTAATCTGGACCCTGGTCCGATTAACGGCCAACTACATCGAAGCAAAGAAGATCGGGTTGCCAATTCTTATCGCTCCCGTCAATCCAGCAAGCCCTTTATGGATGTTCACCAAGGATCGTCTCATACCCATCATCAGCTCATTGCCTTGGGGACTGGGTGAATGGGCCAGCAGGGCAGAAGTCGGTTGGACTTTCTACCAAAGATACTCAGTCCATGCAAAGTATGGCGAGGCATTTACTATTGTCTCTCCCGGCACAAATGAAATTTATCTTGCGGATCCCGCTGCCACTGAGGATATAATGCGGCGGCGCAATGATTTCATTAAAGACCCGGCTATGTACGGCATGCTGAACATCTACGGGCCCAACCTTGATACCGTCAATGGCAAGGTATGGGATCGCCATCGCAAAATCACAGTTCCGCCCTTCAATGAACAGAACAGTGCTTTGGTCTGGCGAGAAACCGCAGAGCAGGCTGACCAGATGCTGAAAGTTTGGTCCGAGAAAGATTATATCACGAGCACCCAACTTGACGTTCATGCCGTTGCCCTCAACGTCTTGTGCGGCGCTGGCTTCGGCATACACAGTAGCTTTGTTGATACGAAGCTATCAGGCGGCGAGAATCAAGCACAGACACAACTTGGTTATCGAGAGAGCCTGCGAATGCTGCTTGCAAACATTATCCAGCTTGTTCTTTTGAGCGTTATGAAGAAAGCAGGGGTTCCGGATTGGTTGTTCTTTGGCAACATGCAAAAGCTGTCCGTCGCGTACGAAGATTTCAAGAGATATATGAGTGAGATGCTTGCAAGGGAGAAGACTGCCTTTGAACAGGGCGACTTGACAAGGCATAATCTTATGAGTGCGTTGGTCAGAGCTTCCGAGCAGTCGAATGAGGCAGCCCGGACAACCAAAGATCCCGCGGCAGCAGCTGCAGCAGGGCTCTCAGATGAAGAGGTATATGGGAACCTCTTCATTTATAACCTGGCTGGCCACGATACCACAGCCGCCACCCTCCATTTCGCACTCACCCTATTGGCTGTTCATCCCGAATGGCAGACCTGGATCGCTGAAGAGATTGATCAAGTTCGAAAAGACGACCCGTCAGGCATGTGGTATTATGAGGAGACTTTCCCCAAGCTGGAGAGATGCCTAGCGCTCATGGTAAGACACCCATCGTTTCCGAGCCCCGGCACCGCTGACGCAACGTTAATAGTATGAGACGGTCCGGCTGTATGGGCCAGTCGTGATGATGCCTCGCTACACAGGAGATGCTGCACAACGACTCAGCATTCAGGGAAAAGAATACATCTTGCCACCAAAGACGTCGGTTTCGTTGAACTTTGCCGCCCTCCACACCCACCCAGACTACTGGGGACCAGACCCCACGAATTTCCGGCCTGACAGATGGATTGCGCCCAAGGGGGAGACGAAGAGCGTCGCCGGTGACTCATCAATGTTGTATCAGCCTGCCGACGGTTCGTTTGTGCCCTGGAACGCGGGTCCCAGAGTCTGCCCAGGCAAAAAATTCTCCCAGGTCGAGTTCACCCGGGTCATCTTCAGTTTATTTGCCGACGGCTCGAGGGTCGAGTTGGTCCCGGAGGTTGGTGAGAGTATTCAGGCGGCCAGAGCGAGGATACTGCAGATCGTAAACGAGGCGAGGGTCGAGGTGACGTTGAAGATGGTGGACGCTGAACGGGTCAAGCTTAGGTGGACCAAGAAGGCTGCAAGCCTCTGATAATGGATGGCATAGTGTAGCTGCCCAGGAGCCTCGGCCCACGCGGTTGGTTGCACCAGCAGCTTCTGGCGGTTTTGCCAGGAGTTCTAGGAGATTTGTTTCGCGCTCCGCTTGGTAAAGGGGTTCAATGGGTCCGCGCCGCTGCACAGAGAAGCTAAGTTGATCTTGACAAGACGGACGATAGCCCCCCGAGAGGTTTCGTTATATATTTTCTGTAGATAATGGGTCTGAAACTGCTCGCTATTTGATCAAGTCACGGCGTGGGTTGTGAAGTTGGGAACAGGGACACGACGAGGGAGGAATGCTCAATCCCTCTCACTGAACGGTATCTGCCCCTGTAACTAGGTCAATGAATGCGCACTCATTATCCGACATAGCCTATGGTCATCCATCCTCTTCCGCTACTGTCTCTGCAAACACCTCGTCTCTCCAAAGACACGTCGGCAGCCCTCCCGGAGTATAACAGAGAAAACAAGCTGAGCGTCTAATCTGCCCAACACAGCATTGGAGATCTCGATCACAACCCGCACTTTTCAATTGAAGATGGCGCTCCAATCATTCTTCTTGATCCATTCCTCCACAGAGGGCAGCTTCACCCGAACGTCAAGCTGTCATCACAATAGGTCAGCGCGCCCCTGAATCAATGTACGACGGCGCGGGGGGGTACTCGGGAGCGCATCTTCTGTAAGGGCGTACATACATCCTTGGGATGCACCAGCGACGGGTCGTCGCGGCCTTCATATCCAAACTCTGCGAAATAGCTGGCGTTGTCCGTCAACTCGTCGCGCAAGTCTTCGGGGATGTCACCCCACGCGCCACCACCGGGTGACGGGGCCTTGATTCTCGCATTGACGCCCAGCGTTTGGGAGAGGATGGAGATGTACTCGTCCATCGACATCCACGCGCGGTACGCGATGAGGTTTTTGCCGGCCGAGGCCGAGACGGCGAGGGCGCGCGTAAATGGGCCCGTGTCTTCTTCCGCCGCGATCAGCGGCAACTTGGTGTCCGTCGCCCCGCTGAATGAGAAACTGTACACCCCGTCTGCGTCCTGTATTGCGAGATTTTGTTTTTCGTCAGAGTTATGTTTGTTTGAGCGCGAACAGATCAAAGCACGGGTGTCGAGGGGGAGCAACCCTTACCTTTTGCGGCCGCATGAACGGATACGTGAGAATGTTGGACAGGTAGAAGCCGACTTGGATGATGCTCGTCTTCTTCCACAGGTCCGGGTATGTGGCCTGTCCGTACTCGGCTGCGCGGGCCTTGCTGTCAAAGTGGTACACGTGGGTATATTTTCCGCCCGACCACTTTGTGGCGTTGGACAGGCCGGAGAATATCAAGCGTTCAAGGCCTTCTGTTTGTGCAGCCGCGTCGAAGACGTTCTTGCCTTGTCGCTCCTCGTTCTGGCCCGCCCATACATTCTTTGGCTGGCCGGTGGCGGTCGCCTTTGGCGTCGTTGCAGGGTCGTAATAGGATCCCCAGAAATCTGTCACCGAGAAGATGGCGTGCGCGCCCTTGAATGCCCGGACGAGGGAGGAGATGTCATCTAGCGACGCCGTCACTACCTCGTGCACGCCCTTGGCTCTGAGTTGCTCCGCGGAGGTGCTGTTTGCGTTGCGTGTGAGGGCCCGGACTCTCCAGCCTGGCTCGGCGAGGAATGCGTCGACGACTGACCCGCCTTGTGTTCCCGTGGCGCCGGCAACGACGATGAGCTTGGACATGATGTGTTAAAGGTGTTGAAGTTAACAAGAACGCTTTTGCTGTCGAGATTAGAGGGCCGTTCTCTAAGACCATCCATGTTTGCTTCTCTCATATATGATACTCCTGACTGCCTGGCTGTCCATGGTCCAGTGCTCGTTGTAGTAAATTGATTCGACCGCCGGTTGCGGACGGACGAAAACCTTGTGGTGCCGTCCATACTCGGTCGGATTCATAATTCTCTTAGAGAACAGACGTCCTCATCTTGCGTCTCAACTGCGTGGCAGATATTCGAAGGCAAAGGAATCGGACGGGCGCATGAGCTATGACATTGGCCATGGGAAAGTCTTGGACGAACTAATCCGGCTGAACTGACCCAACCAATATCGACTGTGGTTGTAGTTGCAAGGGCCGATGTTGGATTTGTTTGTGCTTAGTGTCAACCGGGGTGATATCAAAGAAGTATCGAAGAGATGATCCTGTTAGAAGTGACGGCTCTGGTCGGACAGATATCTATCCGACCCCGGTCCAACACGACACGGGCCCGGGTTGATGTCCAGGCCCGGGCATAGAGAAACCAGGACCACTCGCGTGGAGTGCTCCGATCATGGCGAAAGGCGCTTGCAATTCAAATCGATGCTAGGGAATCGTGTCTTGAGGCTATGTGTATGCATGGGAGGTGAGGGACGCGGAGGATAAGAGCTTGGAAGTTTGGATTCGGGGCTGTGCACGACCACTCTTGTACTTGGGTGAGTGCGTGTGCGAACTGTTGAGGTAGTGCTGGACTGGAAACATTGCTCTTGGATCTGTTGGCGATCTCGCTACCAAGTTGAACAGTTATCGACCGAGATACCGCTGTCCTCGACTCCTCGCAGCTGCCTGTCCAGACTATTCCCTCTTTGCTGCTGCCTCTGCCATCTTGCGACAGAAGATGCTCTGATTGTTGCCGATTGCAGAGCCTCAAAGCCGGTTGCAGACTGGAAAATCTTGTAAGCCTTCAGGCTGCCCTATGGGTCTCTCCTGCTCTCTTCCCTGCTGTCTTCGTTGTGTCCACGGCATTTTCGAAGAGACAGGGAAGATAGACGCCTGTGTAGGTCCTCAAGGATGCGACCAACCATTCGAGTGACCGAACTTGACATGCAACACTAGAAATGGTCGTCTGGATGTTTTTGGCGAGGGCGCAACACCCATGGTTGCCAAGAGCATACAGGGCGAGGGACTCTTTAATGGGCACCAACAGTTGCAAGTACTGCAAGTGTAACCACCAGTGAAGAGCAGCTCTCCCACCCAGTCTTTGCACCCCAACATGTTCGTCCACATTCTCCAGGTCATGAAGGTTGCTCTGTTCCAACGCATTCATGGCACCGGGTCAGTCTGCTCCGGCTGCCACCTTGCAAGTACTCGATCAAGCCCGTCGTTTCGGGTTATTTGGGTTGTCTTGTCTCGAGCAACAAATCCAGCAGGACAATCGCAAAAATTTGGTCGGGGGCATGTCACATATATGTGATCCTTGATGGAGCTCACACGGTTCACTTCCATTTCATGCTTTGCGGAGCACCGAGGATGGCAGTACCCAAACTCAGTTTTCGTGGCAATGGTAATGTCTTCGTAATTCCCTAAAAGAAATAGACATCTTCCTAACATCTTCCATCTTCTGATAGTGAGCGAAAATGGCTCTTCTGTGCTCACGAACTTGAGTATCCTCATAATATTAACGACTGAGCTTATCTGCGCAGCACGTTAGCGACTCGAGACGACTGGTGACTCTTTCGGAGTCTTGTTTGACAGGCTTGAAAAGTGCCTTTGTCATGAGCTTCAGGCTGCCAGTTTTGGGGCCTGCCACTGGTTGTTAGATTGATCTGAGTCGTCGGATTTAGCCGCTTCGGTGACGAACATTGGCTCTTCCTAGATGAGCCTCCTTCGAGAATTTTCACGACAGTCAAGCAAAACCCAAGGTAAGCATCATAACCCTCCACGAGGCTTTGGATAAGCCTGGTTGAGTGTGGACACAAGCGCACGTAGAGGCCAACCGCTGAGGCATATCTGACAACTTGTCGAAAAGATCCATAAGGTCACGAAGCAGGTAGGCTGCGGAATCAGCTGTAATAGGACTTTAAGCATCGCAGAAAGCTTACGCGAATGATGATACAGGCACAGCTCCAAACAAGGCTCAAGATCTCTGGCTTTGTATTTGCGAACTGACTCAATGCCTTTCCGTGGTACTCGATGCCTCGAGTGAAGGGATCGATCGTTTGTACGAGCTTCAATGTCCGACTGTGTTCTTGATATCGGTTTTTCAAGGACTGGGCCGCTAAGAGCACGTCTTGGGCCGCTGAGCTGTGGGCAGACAGCAGCTTTTCCCTGTGCGGAAAAGCTTGAGCGGAACTTTTGTTGCGCTTCTTCAAAATGGCCCATGGTTCTTTGTACAGCGGGGTGATTCACGGCACAGAGAATATTATTTCCATGATAAGCCAACATCACGGCCATCAGGTTCAGCTTTCGCCTGCAAATAGATGAGGCAGCGAAGTGGCCGACATGGAGACGCCAAGACGCGGCAGCGTCTAACGGAGAAATATTGTTCCGTCACGAGTTAAATATGCGGCCAAGGCGAACACCACGACAGCTGAACTACCTTTTTGCTCATTTCCCGTTCGTGATATCAACTACAAGGTCTCAACATCAGGCCAGCGCCTGCTACCCCCTAGTCCTCCGTGATACTCTGTACAGTGACTTCTATCAACCATTCCTCGGGACTTCCTACAACGATCGGTTCCTGGAGCTGTTGTCGGAATCGTGTTCAAACACCCTCTTCTCTCTCGACTTTCCTCGCTCCTCAAGACTCTTCCTAGGTGCTCTAATCTCATAATATGTGATCAACAAAACATATACCAGCCAAACCACGCCGCTGACGACACCATATGCGATATACTCTCCTCGTTCGGCATCCTCCGAGAGTTTCAGACCCAGCCCGCCATTGATCATCCCCAGCGTAATCAGGATTCGGCCCAGCCATATGTGGACGACGGCCAGTGTCGTTCGGCGCCTGTACTTCGGAAAGAGAGCCAAGTGGTGCACCAGGGCTGCAACGATCTGAAGCCAGATCACGGCGAAGATGACAAGGCCGATGATTGCATGATACGAGTCCAGGTCCTCTGTGATCTGTGCCATCCAAATGCCCATACCAACGGAAGCAGTATATATGGTTGTTGCGAATACCTGGATGGCAGCGTGGATCCGTGTGGTTTTCTGTCCCGCCAGAAGGCGCATGAGTACGGCTCCGAGGGGGAAGAATATGACCCATGATACGCTTGCGAGGGCGGCGTGGGCGATTACGACCTTATGATAATAGGCTGGATGGCTGTCTGAGCCGCCCTCTCCCCTGTCGGCGCCGCTCTCGTCACGGTCCCCGTCGTCGCCGTCGGCATCTCGAGCACATATAATAGTTGCTACGGAGGTTAGCCATAACGCAAAAATGGGAGCTGCGAGGTCGTACCAAAGACGGTCAATGCGAGATACATGCAGATTCGGGCAGACATCCTGGTAAGGCGTATTTTCTCCCTTGATACTAGAACTATTGATAAACAAAATCCTCTGTTACGCGGTGCATTCTATCTTAATATATAATTGATAATCATGGGGATATTGCTAGTGGCGGTATGATTCTTGTCACAGGTATGCTGCACCTCGCACGCAGTATGCCTTGCAAGGTACCTAGGTACCTTCCCATTCCAGTACGAAACACTTCGTCGTGACCAATGTAGACCTTTGGGCAAGGCTGAATACGTTGAACTAATGCATGACGGCCTACCAAGCCCTTGATGACGTATATTCGGTGGGTATGAGAACTTCTCAGTCCACTTCACAATAGAAGCTCGAACTCTCGAAGATTGTGGGTCTTGCTCTCGTGCCCAGCCCCCTGGATATTCCATGCAGGTCTCTTAATAGGATGCTCAACGAATCAAATCAAACTAGAATGTCACTGATGCATATATGCTTGCGTATTTCAACGACCGCCGAGCCGCATATAGGATCCCTCACAAAAACCCAGTTCGTAAGTCCCAAATCCCACAGGGCGTTTGGAGCGGGAATCTTGTCCTTGAGTCCAGAAGGGAGCTTCGAGCCAAGTGCGAAGATTGCGTATCTATTATGGCTTGGCGGGACTAGCAGAGGCTAATAGCGCGTTGACAGCAGCGTAAAGGCATACACATAGAGCGAGGGAGTTCAACCAGTGGGGACTGTTGGCCATTTGCAGGTTGGCGCGGTTCGGCTAATCTCACGAGAAATCATGCCTGATTGGGTGGGAGACCACCACGTATGAGGCTGACGTGCGGCCATCCTTGGCCCACGGCACCGGTAGACGACAGAGGGGATCAAAGGCCCTTTAAACAGCATGATCTCGATGGCGGCCCGGCCAGTGATAATCCATATCAGTGGGGATGTTCTTGCGCAAATGGTCCATGAACGTGGGCGGGACGCGTCCCAGCATACGCCATCTATCGCTTGGCGGTATAGAATGCTCTTCATCATAGTGGCTCAGGAGATCCTCAATGGCACTCGCCCACTTGATCAGCTTGTCTTCCTGCCAAGCAGTGTGCTGCAGTGTCAACGGCACGGGCATGCCGTCTGGATCAAGGCCGATAGGAATCGTCATCACAGGATAGCCTGCTTGAGCGGCAATCTGGATGCCTCCCGCTTTCACGTCGCAGAAGAGGAGAGCGTCGAGAAGTTCTTCTTCATGATGGGGAGACTGCGGACGCCGGCTGCTCAAAGGACATTTCAATGCAGCATCAATCCCATTTTCGCGGCATTGAGATTGGATATGCGTCAACGCGGCGTAATACGTCTCATCCTTGATGCCCTTGGTCTCGACGCACTTGCGGAAAAGCCGCTGGCCATCAGGAAACGCGGGTAAATCGGCGGCCTGGCCGCCTTCGGAGCCGCGGTTTTCGTCGTTGAAGCGCACGATATCCTCCAGAGTCTTAATGGGTGTGTTTTTCAGTTTGCTCAGGTATTGGTTCATAAGGTAATATGTCTGAACTTTGCTGACGGTGATTTCGGAGATTTTAGGGTTGGATTCGCCGTAGCGTTCCCTAATGAGCGAGTCAGGATATCTCTAGAGACTAAAATTGTCGAGGAAATCACGATAATATTGCAACTTACCAGTCCCAGATCCCGTGCTTGCCCAATCTCTCTTCGGCGCACGGCATATCAACGAGGATGATTTCGGCACCTGCTTGCTTTATAAGATCCAAGACTTTCTCTGCAACAAGTCGCTGAGGATACGGAGCAGCATCCCAGAAGCACTTGCTTGGCAGACCAAACTTTGCACCCTTGAGCGCGTGCCTGTCAACAAGGCATTCATAATAACTGTTTGGCTGACGTCTTCCAGGCTGAGTACTGAACTTGTCGTCAGGGTCGGGACCCGCGATGATGTCCAATGCACGGGCAACGTCTGCGACGCATCTCCCATAATGGCCGACGGAATCCTGTGTCTCTGAGATAGGAATGACTCCTCCACGCGAAGTGAGACCGACCGTCGGCTTGATCGCGGCAACACCACTGACCATACCGGGGCTGATCACGCTGCAGTCTGTCTCTGTGCCGAACGCGAGCGGGACAATATTGGCTGAGACGCTGACGGCACTGCCTGAGCTGCTGCCATCTATTCAAATTAGTGATTCTGGTGGAACCAACCCAGAATCGAAGAGCAGATGCTTACTCGGGGAGCGAGTCAGCATGTACGGATTCCGACATTGCCCACCACGGGCAGAGTACCCCATCGAGTAGATGCTGCCTCTCATTCCTGCCCATTCATCAAGGTTGGTTTTGCCGAGGATGATCGCGCCCGCTCGGCGCAGAAGATGGACGATGTGTGCATCTTTTGGGACGATACAGCCGAGCAAGGCCCACGAGCCCGCTGTCGTTTGCATCTTATCTGCCGTAGCCATGTTCTTTAGCCGCACAAATTGCTTGTCAGCCTCGCCGCGAAGGGACCATCAGCGTCGACTTACATCTTTAACAAGCACGGGAATACCATGTAATGGGCCTCTGACGCTGCCTTGCTTCCGTTCCTCATCCAAGGCCTGGGCATGATCGAGCGCGTCGGGATTGGTCTCGATAACACATTCGAGATACGGGTTAATCTTGGTGCCGTCAGCCAGAGATCTCGAGGGCAGTGGGAAGCGTTCACTTTTTGAACTCTGTCTAAGCAGAATTTCACATAGTCAACAGAGGACAATGCCCCGGTAGAGTAGAGATGTTGGAGCTCATCTACCGAGACCTCATACAGATCTAGGCCATTGCAGCGAGGCAGCCGGAATATCTCAGGCATTCCATTCTGTGACGACTCGGCGGGTTTGGAAATCACGACAAAGCCATCGCCGTCAAGACATGAATCGTTTTGCTCATCCACTCGAAAAAGCGCCATCAATACCGTCTGGAGCTTGACGCCTCTCCAATGACCTAAATCGAGATTAGAGTGGCTTCTCAGGCCGTCAACGTCCTGAGAAATCGGTTAGAATGGGGTTTGGGGAAGCAATGAAGCGTTATTGAGCCTTTCCCTTGCGCGGTGTATCTAAAGCAAAATCCCAAACGGCGTGCCCAGCGGTGAGAGAGAGGAATTGAAAGACGGAAGGTGAAGGTTGGACAAAAGATGCCCATAACGGGCTTGAACGGGTTCGTACACGATCAAATTGGGGCTGTCTGACAAAAATCAGTTGCACTCTCTGCCTCTGCGCGCGGCTTTGTAGTTTTTGTCAGACCACAGCTCGTCTTCCGGCATCGGCAACTAGAGGTTGACGTAGATAAGGTCAGCGAGGTACTTAGGAGGAGCTGTATGGAGTACTCCGCCCCTTACAAGCTGTTCACTTAGCGAGCGCAAATAGGTAAAGTGGGTCAGGAAGCCTTGGTGAACTTGCACGAGACAATATCTCAATTGCAAAATACTTTTCCGAATCGACGCATTGCGGGTCGTAATGAGCTCGAAGCTCCTCACAGAAAAGGCAGTGCCAAAAACGCTCAAGTCGTTGCTCATATGCAAAGAACGCTCAAGAAGCAAACGTCGCTCGATGAATGCCGGCAGTAACAAGATGAAAGATTCGTCCAGTATCTTCGTAAATCATGCAAGCCCAGCCTCCATCGTCTCCGCCAACAGTGAGGCTTCCTCCCAGCTCTGTTGCATACCCTCAGCGTAGATCCGGTCGAGATAGAAGAATTGCAATAGCAACTGGCGGACCTCATCCCAGTTTTGGAGTCTGAGCACTCTAGACACCCTCGCAAGATTCAGCACGAACCACGGTCTCTCTCTCTGGCCCGCAGAGATATATGCACCCAGCAGGAGAACCCATGCCAGGAGCTGATAATGGGGGCCCCAGAGACCTTTCAAATCTGAAGCCTGCAAGGCGGACTTCAGCTGTGAGGTCAATGTCCGGTTGAGTGCAGAATCGGGTCGAGAGATCTGAAAGATGCTGAACCAGAAGATGAGCAACGCGAGGCGACAGGCCTCTTCTTTGTCGCTGGCAGGCTCTCGTGGCTCAAACGGTGCGGACAATGCTGCGTAGCGGAAATGGTAGCTTTTGGCGTTGATGTAGTCATTTTCCTCGGGCGCAGGGAGCAGCTGCTTTTCGTGGTAGTATTCCCGGTATTGAACGACATCCTTCATGTCTCGAAAAGCTTGTGATATTCTCCAGTCCATTATGGTATCAATGTCCGCGGTCAATATGCCCATGCCCATTTTTTTCATGTCCTCACTCACGTTTTGCCTAATTTCTTCGACCAAACTTGCAGGGAGGGAAGGCAGTGCAGAGGTAGGAGGCGCCGCAGGTAAAGATCGTGTCAGCGCGGCGCACATATAAGAAGTACTGTCATCATGATTAGATCTGCTATTGCGCAGTTGAGGAGTGGCCAATGTCTTACGATAGGATGAGCTCCGTAGCATGAGGAGGTATCCCATGATACCCGCCGCGCCAGGCGATCAGTTTCTGCAATCCCGAAACATGCGCAAATATTTCCTTTTGATTTCCCGTGATAACCTGCCGTGGATTCTTTAGTATCAGGAGTACCGAGGGCGCCTCGTAAATGCTCCGCGTACCTCGATAGAAAGCAAACACATCATAGCAAAAATCGTCGAAGCCTGGGCGGCCTTTTCCATTGATTTCATCGTCTCATTCGCAATCCTCACTGCATTCACCTTATATGAAACAAAATCAGGGACGATGCGGTTTTCAAGGTCCGCTTCGGTGAATGTCGTCTCGATCGAACCATTTCGTAATTGTCCCAAACGCGAACTTCGCTCGGCTGACGCAACGGCTAGGAGGGAGTACAAGACCAGTGGATCCTGGGCAGCATTTTGAAAGGCCCATCGAGTCTGGATTTCGGCTTGGTGTCGAGTAGGAAACACGCTGGGTATCATAACATCGGAAACTATTCAAAGAAAGTCAGCTTCTGCCCAACTTCGGCCAATCTTGCGAGCTACGGCCGCGCTGTCGGTGGTAGAGTATATTGAAACACTCTGACCTCGTCAAGGCTGGAAATTCAAGGGGAAAAACGCCGTGTAAGAGCCTCCTCACTTTTGCGACAAGGACAGCTAGCATGGTACTAGCTGCAGTAACATTTTAAAAGGAGCTTTCCAAGTATATCAGAGAAGAGCGTGCTTTCTGAGCAACTCGCGCGCCTAACTCGGAAGGCTAGCCCAGACACAGGCTTGCAAACGGTGGTACTCGGAGATGAGACAACTTACAATGACGCAAAACAGCATTCATGCTTGGGGTAATATGTACAGAGCTGATATTAAAGGGGTCAAGGAGTGTGTTGTCCAGTGATGAATTAGGAGAAGGTTGAATCAAGCGGCCCGCATGGCCAGCATCCAGTCGTTGCAAAATCTGGGTGAGCATGGACCTCACCGAGGTTTTTTCGTCTTCCAAGTTCGCCCGTCGAGTGACTTCAGTGGACGCATTTCGTTCATGCTGCTGCGTAGTGATGGCGTTGCGAACTTCCGCTCCACGAACGCTGCTATAGTGCCGTAATCGGTCGACTTGCTCACGGTCGAATTCTGGAGGAGATTCCGAGCGTGCAGGCGCTGGCGGTTCGGGACTAACAGTCTCTTCTCGCGGCGTGAGCGGTGATTGTGGCGTCAAAGCGCTCTCATGACTGGTAAATGGCTGTGGTTGAAGAGGACCGCGTCGCCCAAGGGTGACGGGAGTAGTCGGTTGAGGCTCGATCGGCCGTGGCTGCAATTGCGGCTCACGTCGATAGCGTCCTATGTTTGCGGTCCCTGTCGTTCTCAGCCTTTGTGCGGCTTGCTTTCGATTTCTGTGCGCAGTCTGCTGGATGTGTGCATTGATTGCTCGCTGGTCAGAACGCGGTCTTTGCCCAGTGGAGGACGAGTCGACGAACAAGAAACGGTTGCTTTGCTCGGAAGCCGTCGAAGTTCTGGCACCCTCCTGATCGATTCTTCGATACTTATTCGACGACTCGCCTCCTTCACTCCCGTTGTCTCGGTCGGAAGACCTGTCCCCTTTGCCAGGGTTATGTAGGGCGCCATGAGCAGCATGACTCGGCGCTTTTCGTTCATCCATCCTCAAAGAGGTAAACGCAGGCGCAACTTGAAGAGTTACAAAGTTGAATCATTGACGTTGGTAGAGACAGACTCCGCTGCGAGGGTTCCATTCCTCGCCTGCGTCTGCAACTCTGGAACAGACTTGACAGAGAAACAGAGAGCCTGCTCGTCTTGGAAACCCCTCGTCGACTCCAATGGTTGAGCTGAAGACTGAGGTCCGCTCGCCACCGCTAAACCGAACCAGGTCTGCGCCCATCACCAACCAAAGAGTGCAATCTCGACTAGCTGGAAAACGAATCACGGCCAGCTTGTTGCACCCTGTGCCCCCTTTGAGTTTCTCATTGTGACTGCCCAAAACTGCCGTTGCCCCGAACCGACATTAGTAGGTTTCGTAATCCTCAAGATGATTGGCCCCTTGTCCTCCCTAGCCCACACTTATTCGCACTATTGGTAAGCACCAAGGTCAAGTTGCAGGGCCTAGCCTCGTGTCCACACACTAGGCCTCAAAGGGCAGGCAGTTGTCGCGCTGTCTGATTGGTGTAGACTCCGAGCTCTTTTGGGACAATGGTTGCTGGCCAATCAATGCATCAGGGGACACGGAGGCGCTGGCCCTGCCGGGTCTTGCAAAGTCATCAGGTCCCAGAGAAATTCCGGGTCATGCAACCCATCTCCCCCTACAGGGACGAATGAGCAGGGTCCGACATGATGACGGGGATAGGGCCATCGAGATTTGTGAACCTCTTCGGGAGACACGATCTCGTTTCGTTCTTCTTGTGCACCATGCTCATGATTACAAGTAGGTTTAACTGCGCCCTGGGCTTCCTCCAGAGCCCACAGCAACCTCCTGCGTTGTTGAAAAACCCCTTGTTTCTTTCCAGGCGAAAGATATTTGCCTCAGGCCAAAGATGAGTGTTGTTCTCACCCAAACTCCCGCGACCCAATATGTTCCCAAATATCTTTTCATTTCCGGCGACAGCCAGCGCGGCACTTGCAAAAGTCGGCATGTCATGAAAGAATGTAAGCCTTTGCTCTCAACACCGGGATTCTCCTTGCTGAGATATCGCCCTCTGGCTAGTTCTACGCAAGCGCGATTCCATCCGTCGTCAAAAGCAAATGGCTACGCGATCGCAAAGTCGTGTGCTTCCCTGGCTACGCCGAGAAGATATGGAACAAGTGCCAGTTCGAATAGATGTCACTGGGGCAGATGTCGGAGGATCGTCTGACTCTCTGAGCGACTTCAGTTCAAGACCTTCATCCCCCCAACAGTCTCAATGGACCGCTGGAAGCATAATGGATGAGGCGTCCTCCTCACCATGTTTCAGTCCGCCCTGTTCTCTTTCGGACTTCATGGAGCTCCCAGAAAGTCCAGTGAAACCTACTTACAACACGCAAGAGCTGCTTGACTACTGTAAGTCATAACTTTGGCTGTCGGTCGCAATCAAAGACGACTGATGTCGACAGTGCACGGTTCTGTGATATGTCGCCTCTACGAGACAGAGCAGTCGAGTAACATTACCTCGCCGGCAACCGTCATGGTGAATCACATAATGACCCGCTCGGTGTCGGCACGAATACTCCTTGCGATTTCCAGTCTTCGCCGCGATATCGAAACAGGACAGCAGACACCAAGCTCTGAAACTCTCAGCTTGATCCTTGAAGGCATCGGCTTGCTCAAAGAGCATCTACAACGCCCCCGTGGTGTTTCTGACGACACTATCTTGGCAGTGCTCAACCTATGGGCATACGAAGCAACATTATCGATAGGATCTGCTCGAAGTGGACCAGAAAGAGGTTCAACTCAAGGGAGGCTACTCCCGAAATCGCTAACGGATAATATTCAAACGCATCTGAACGGGCTTCAGAGATCCATCAATTGCCGTGGAGGGCTGCGCAATCTTTCACCGGAGACGCTGTGGCTTCTGGCTTGGTGAGTCGACTTCATCCTTTTCGAGAAACAAGGCTGACTTCTCAGGTGTATATGTACACTGCCAGGATATTCTGCTATCGACACTAGAATGATGGTGCCCGCCGTGGGCAGTCCTGGTGCCTTGCAAACAAGGCCCGATGTCTATTACCGTCGGGCCAGGCTGTTTGACACACTTTCAAAAATTCAAGGACACATGTCATTACCTCATTCTCAGGCCAATATCCTCCACGAAGCATCATTTGCACCTTTGAAAACAGTGTTGCATCGACTGAATGTGATGCGGCATGCTCTCAATCAACAGCCAACGCAGATGAACAGACTTCGCAAGTCGACTTCATTGGTGTCGACGCTGCTTTTCATCTTCGATGTCTTTCTAGAAGGAACGGATTCTGCTCACCGAGAAGTCTGCGACCCCCAAAACCAGTTGATAGCAGTCCAGAGACGACTTGTCGACCATGCTATCGACAGAGAAGGGTCTCTCGAAAAGGTTTGGCAGGTTCTCATGACGCAGCAAGAGGCTCCGCAGCTGCAGCTCCATCCGAGAACTTGGCCAATTGTTGAGATGGTGAATGTGATCAAGCATTTGAACATTTCCACGGTCGATACGCTGTCACAACTGTTGCTCGGGTATCTGCTGCCTGAGACTTGTGACAATGCGGTTGAAGATTTCAGGTACGAGAAGATTATGCTGCAACTTCACTTTGAGCTAGACGGTCTGGCCGATCTTTCTTGAACAAATACACCGTGTATTGATAGAAGTAGATAACGAGGTGATCATGACATGGAGATTTCACGACAGTATCGTAATGGCTCCCACATTCGAACTTGAAGATGAGATCTTGATTTATTGAAGGATTTACGGTCCCGTCTAGATGCTTGTAGAACCTAGTTAGCCCGAGGACAAGAGTGTTAGACTCGACAAGAGCACCTAGGTAATTCCTCTATTCACGCCAAACTGAACAGGAGAGCGAGGCTCGGAGAAGTTGCAGTTCCTCGACCCAAGCTCCACAATAGTTTAGTCAGCCGTATAGAGTGAAGCTTTAGCCGCAGAGCGCAGTTTCCCATCCCACTTCTTGGCATTGTTCGGAGCTTGCTTGAGCTTGTTCCTTCGTATTCGCAGTTGTCTAAAGTGACTGCACCAAATTCTTCGCAGACAGGATGGAAGTGTCCATGCTGGTGGCTTCCGCGCCTGACATGAATGGCCAGGAGACCGAAAGACACGGTAAGTGGAGGCCAAGGCAGCGCTCGTATTTATGGCATATGATCCAACCTTGCCCACCGTCTGCAATCTCCTTTATCGTCCCCAGCAGCCCCATTTTGAGCCCTTGAGAACTGCCGAAAGGCCATGTTGAAGGCTGCGGTGTCTTGGAGAGAAGGGCTACAGCTTTGAACTGGTCGCAAAGCGTATCTGTCGAGAAAGAGAACGGCATGCACATTCCGGTTTTGATGGCCCATTCGAGCTGCCAACAAGTGGAACTGTTGCCGGAGTTGATGCAGAAACCAATATTGCGATTGGTAGCATGCCTGCCTCGATCCGAAGCTGTCTCAATCCTTCAGACGGCTAATTCGCATGCCAGCACCACTCTTCTCTGTTTGATCTCCTGTAGAGGCGGCTATTGAGCCCTTTCTACCCCCAAAAGTCCATATTCCCCACGACTTGACCCCAAAATCCCCGCAATTACGGCGTGCCAAGTACCTTCGTCTCACCAGGCATGGTCGTCGCGAATTGAACATCGTCTCCTTGGATATTGGGACGACGCTAATCATGCTGGTATATGTGGCACGGTGGAATACCGCCTTGTCGATCACGGCAGTTGTTGGACTCAACTGCCGTTCATCAATTCATTGCCACCAGATATATGATTACCTTCCTTCCACGACAGCCATATAGGGCACCTGCTCTTGGCTTCTCTGCCATTACTTTCTCCAGGGAAAAGAATCCTTGTTGCTGCTCGGCCTGAGCGGTCAATTTGATCAGCATGGCTGCAGAAGTCGTCAGCACTCCGACCGACACGGAGAAACAAATTCAAGAGACGGTTGTCCACCTTGAAGATGCTTTGGCCACCCTCAACATCGATCCCAAGGACGCCGACGAGGCTTTCGAATTTCTCCGGGACCACCCGAACGCCGATGGTGTCACACAAGAAGCTTTAAGTATTCTGGCCGATGAACGCAAGCGGAAGAAGCTTTTGCGAAAGATCGACTGGGCCATTCTCCCTTGCATGATCGCCACTTACTTCCTTCAATTCCTGGACAAGACGACCATCGGGTATACTGCGGTGATGGGACTACGGGAAGATACTCATCTGAAAGGCCAACAGTATTCTGATGTTGCCATGATTTTCGTAAGTCGGTCCAATTGACTTGAGTTGCCTCTTTTTTGTGCCATGCTCAGCTACGGCGAAGTGTTATTGCCCAATACTTTTGTGATGCTGAGACAGTGATAGTATATCGGTTACCTTGCCGCCGAATTTCCCACTCAATATATCTCGCAACGGGTTTCACGACTTGGTAAATACCTCGGTGCCAATATTGTACTCTGGGGTGCAGTGCTGGCGGCCCACGCAGCTTCCCAAAACTATGCTGGCCTGATGATCTGCCGTGCACTTCTCGGCGTGTTCGAATCATGCGTGACACCCACTCTTGTGCTTGTGGTTGCTATGTGGTACAAGAAATCTGAGCAAGGACGAAGGATTTCTTATGTCTACGTTTGCAACAGGTAGGCATCGCCTTTCCCTGCTGATCTATCGACTTGGCTGATGCGTCACAACAGCTTGACGTCCATTTTTGCTGGTCTAGTGTCCTGGGGCGTGTCCCATTCGAAGAACAAGAGCTTTGCAAGTTGGCGAATCTTCCTTCTCACGATTGGTCTGGTGACGGTCGTAGTTGGTGTCTTTGTTTTCCTATATTTGCCTGATTCTCCAGTCAAAGCTAGGCGGTTCTCTGATGCGGAAAAGGTCGCGACACTGTTGCGAGTCAAGGACAATCAGTCGGGAACGCAAAATGCTAAGATCAAGACGTCTCAGTTGCGTTTGGTCTTCAAAGACCCCGGCGTTTGGCTTGTCGCAGTCAGCGTTCTGATGCTGAGTGTTCCAACGGCAATTCCGAACTTTTCCAGCATCTTGTTGACAACGTTTGGCTACAGCGCGCAACAAGCGGTGAGTTCCCCTGGACCGTCGAGCTTTACAGGATCTCCGAAGGTGACCGGATAGAAGAATCTGCACTGACCATAAAATAGCTGATACTGAACATTCCTGGCGGGGTGGTTGGGGCTGTCTCGACCATTCTGACCGGATACCTCAGCGATCGTTGGAACGATCGAAGCCTCGTTATGATTATCAGTATTCTACCAACCATTGCGGCGTTTGCCATGATGATCGGTCTCGACCCTGGCGGTGTCCCGAAGAGCAAAGGGGCATTACTCTTTGCACTTTATCTGTGCAACTCCTTCACAGCGGTAGGCATTTTTGTTTTCTGGCCATATTTTGGTGATTTTAGCTGACAGCGACGTCAGGCTTTCATGCTGCTTCTAGTTTGGAATGCGTCGAACCTAGGAGGTCACACGAAGAAAGTCACAGTCAACGCCTTGACACTTGTCTTGTACTGTGCTGGAAACATTGCCGGGACCGAATCTTTCCGTGCTTCCGAGGCCCCTGGATATATCAGCGGAAAGGCAGCCATCATGTCGTAAGTAGTCTCTCCCGACACGTGTACCAGCAATGCTGGCTGGACCTTTTCGAAAACTCTATCGTCCTAACGTAACTCGTCGATGCTAACAACCATGTCAGTACCTTGTCGTTCCAAGTTCTGGTCTGCCTGGCGCTCAGATTTCGAAATGACCGGCTCAACAAGAAGAATCGCGAGAAGCTTGCTCTCATGACCGAGGACGAGAAGGAGACGTTGCGGCAACAACTAGCGTATGCCGATAAAACGGACCGAGAGAATCCGTTCTTCGTCTACACCCACTAGGGTTATTGATGTGGTGGAGAGGAGACAAGCTGTTTCGATGCTGGCAGGTCCTACAGATACGATATTCTTCTAACACCTCGGGAGATTGAGAGAATGGTCAATAACAGCTTGTTGTGAGCATGGCGTGGCTCACTCCACATTTCTCTGCTTCCGCAGGCTGGGTGAATGTTTCGACTCTCCGTCAGTCACAATGCGAGGTCTATCGGGTTATACGAGGGCCCTCATCGGCCAACGTAATTGAATTGTCTCGTTTTGTTTCGTCCCAATCCCTGGCATTGAAGGGTGCCGCAGGACACCCGCTTTAAAAACTCCCCCGAAAACCACCAAGAATTCTTGAACTCTACTTTTAGAGTCGTCCAGTAGCTTAAGGTGATCAATTTCCGCACTCTTTCGACAAATGTTGATAAATGAGGAGAATGGCCCCATGAACAACATGGTGGAATGCATAACTTGGTAGCGGTACTAATGGCAACACTACAATACGGTGCGAAGTTGACTCTGGTAGGAGTGCTACTTGTCTCTTCTTGTGCAGCTGACTATTTCTGTCTCACGATCAGTCCGCCACGGCTAGGTTCTCAGAAAATTCCGCAGTTGAGTCCCACGGTTGCCTTGAAAGGCTTTCTGAAGCAATCTGCGCTCTTCAGAGACCTCGCGTTGTGAATCTTGCCTGGCAAGGAAACTCACAGCCTCAGCGGCAGGGAAGCCGGCGATGTTCAAGAAAAACGCACCCACAGCAGGGCGTTGGAGGAAGGGCATAAGCATCACAATCTTGCGGCAGTACAGTCTGGGATCAATGCACGCTGAGAGACCCGCACGACCATTTCCGGCAACGTACCACAGAACGTCATGTATGATATTGTACGTTGCTAAGTAGATTATGCCCAGATGAGCCATTGCGAAGTGTTCAGAAGAAGGCTTCGAACTCTCATGGGGGCCATTGGAGATCTTGTCCTCCACAAAAGCGATTGTGGACGAGCCCGAATTGGCCGACCATGTCTGCAGCTGACTATGATAGAGCCAACACCTCTCTTCCAGTTGCTGGCGAAGGAGCGCTTGTGTTTCCACTTCGCCAGATAGACATCCAAGGAGGCCTTCAAGGTCTTCTAGCAGAGCTGGAACCTCGATCATGATATCCAACAATTTATCTCTGGGACCCATAGGATGCAGGGGCCACGGAATTGACTTCCATGCTGGAGAACTAAATATAGATCGCTTTCGAAGGTGGATGTCCGCATATACCTTCCTTTGCGGCGTCAGCGCGTTTTAAGTGATGAGGATATGCAACACAAGGTGCACATTACCAGATGGAGGCGACTGTCAACGAAGAGAAGGTGGGTGTTTTCTTCCACATAGCTTTCGGGGGGTCTCGCTCAGATGATGGCCCTCTCCCCAGAGGCTTGCCTTAGCCAGGTAGGACCTGGGAGCCACGAGCGTTGGTCCTCGCCCGTCTAGATCAACTGATACAGTATGGGTTAATCAGTTTGGATGCTCATATCAGCACGAGTAGATGTTTAGACACACCTCGTATGCACGCAAGAGTCCCGACGCCGCCAGTAGACCGTCACTACCTTCTTGACCTTTGGCAGGGATCGACTTGGCTAGTGCTTGCAAGGATCTGCCGTACAAGCGCCATCCTTGCATGATGATCGGCTGCTGCCCGCTCACCTGGCCGAGCAGGCCCAGGGCGTTGGTAAGCAAGGCCAGGTGCACGAGACCTTGTCGTTGACCCAGGTCTTGTACGACTCCAGTCCAGCTGGTAGTCGAGTATCGTACCGCTCGAGGCGTAAACGGCTGACCATTGGGAAGGAGAGTGGTCCAGTAAAAGTCCAAGTACTTTCTCTCCAACGCGGTGCATCCCAAAGATCGCTCCAGCAACAACAAGGCAGTTGGTGACGTCAAAACTACTTGATCTTGGATGAAGCCCCCAATTCCAGGCTTGCTCGGTTGTGCGTAGGATTCCGGCGTGAAGCTGCATGTGTTGGCATCACCATGCTCCGGTCTGCTGTTGACGAAGATGCGGGCCCTCTGATAGCCTCCGCAGACAAGCTTAGAGTGTTTGCACGGGCCACACGATGGTTGCTGTTGATCGCACTTTGAACGAACAGTACAAGATATCAGCACATTTTTTTCGCACGGCGACGGAATTCCGCCTGCCAGAGAACTCCCGCCCTTCTAGCGCATCCTGCAGGTCCGACAAGCTTCCGACCGTCCTGGAACCCCGACCATGTTGAGGTTGGATGTGTCGAGTTGGATACTCGGCCTCGAGCCCGTCCGTCGGAGGCACGGATAAAGGGGCGAGGGGGTTGCGACGGACATATTCGCTGAACTTACGATCTACATCGGCCCCGCTTTGACTACGCGAAATGCTCCCCAATCTGGCCTAGCTCGAGACTGTACGAGTACAGAGCACAGCCTTGTGAGCTTCTACACAGGTTGAAACCTGATGGAGGCGGCCCCGTTCTCACAACGGGGTCGAATGCAGTAAAATGATACTTTTTTTAGCCACGTACGGCACTCGTCCACGTAGCGCCGTAAAGGTCAACGCATCGTATGTTGCCACCAAAATCGGATACGCGGCAAAAGGCAATATTCCAAAAGACTCGAGGCGCACCCACTCATAAGGCCAGTATTCCGCAGGCATCTTCTAAAGTGCTTAACCGATCTTGCGCCATTGTGGTTGGACTACTTATGCGTCGTTATGAGTGCCCCGTGTCGTACCGATTGAACCATCCTGATAGGAACCTCCTTAGACGAAGCCCCAGTCGTACTTGTACGTCGTGCCCCATAAACACAGTATTGCGTCATAGCTGCCGACGAAATGGACCATCTAACTCTTCCCCTGCTGGTGTTTTAAGGAGGTGAGCATCCTACAGTCCCTGGACAACGCGCATCCAGCATTGGACTCGTTCAAATCTATATGTGTGGTAATTCCAACCTCCATCTCGCCATCGAATATCATTCATCCTTTGATTCGAACTTCAACTACTTTGCCCTAATAGTTGAGGTTCCTCTCTTCTGGTTCTAGTTGGTTTACCTAAGTAATATAGTCAAACGCGGAGTCGGCGATATCAGGTCTTTTGAACGAGACATCCATGATCGGTCATGACAGCGCCTCTCCAAGCCAAATCATCACCCGCGACGCGCAAGAATATATCGTCGCCATCAGGGGCACTTGAGTTGCCTTCTCGGCGTCCTCGCCATCCTGTTTAAAGCATACTGCGTCGACCCACAGGATACGATGCTCGGAGGCATTTTGGAGTTGCGAGAGCGCCTCGATGAGATTCGAAGTCACGGTACGGCACCCGGACTTTTTAGCATCCTCGTCATGTTAGCACCAGATTCGGTATTTGTGAGGCGCCAGCGCCTGCCTGATAGGTTGTCCCATTTCCTCGAGGTGAAGCTGAGCTTTATATCCGTAAAGATTCCCGGCCGACCAGATATAAGACAGGGCTTCATAGCCTGTTGCCTAGGCGTCATTCAAGCTAAACGTTTTGAGGGAGCATTGAAGCTCTTAATCGCGGTGGGAATAGGGGCCACTGAGGACACCATGCAGAACCATGAGTCGAATCTCGTCGGACTCAAGGGCCATGCATTCGCAAGGTTTCCTTGCCACCGAAGGGAAATCGTCCTTCTTTCCCCAGGCAGCTGCTGAGGAACCGGCGTGAGGATGTAACTTCCTCCTATAGAATCAGACAATTTTGTAAGGCTGTGGCGACGCCGCCAGAAGCCGTGCCCCTCGTCGTTCATTGCGCCTAATTCGAAGAGAGATGAGAGTCAAACACTGCTACCCGTGAGGTGGTGTAAAGGACGTCAGCTCCATGGCGAGGCTGTACTCGTGGTAGCCTGACAAACCACTCTGCAGCCAAGGCACAGGTGCCAAGATGGCATCAAGTGGTACGACGGAGTACACAGCCTCGACAGTATTCAAGTACCAAGGACCATAGATCCACCTCTTCTCTTCTCTATCCACAGCTGGCTACGTACAAACAAATAGTACCTCTAAATTATCGGTCCCCGCCAGCGCCGATTTACGGTACACCTCCAATCTACCCATCCTGGCCAGCCGGACATATCGGGCCTTGTATAGTTGCGAGCCGCCCGAGTAAGAACCATATTCTGTACTCCGTACTGCGTATTCTCAAAGCATTCTGTGCTCTCGTACGTAATCTGACAGGGGCTGGGCACCTGAGGGATAACAGTAGATTCAGGATATGCCCCCGTTTTAACGCATTATTCTGTCGATTTGAACACATGGCTATATAGATAGCTTAGGAACGCAGGTACCTATGGTGCCCACACACATCCATACCCTGTATGCCCTTCACTATATACCATACATGTACAAATCTAAATCAAGGTTCGGAGTTCCTTCTTTACAAAGATGCCGTTTTGCCCGACAAATCAATTCCATTCCACCCCATCCCAATTCTACTTCGTATTGCGTCGTCATAATGCTCATCGACATTGTCATGTGGACACATGACAGCATAGCCACGATTGGCCTAGGGAGATGACGAGGGTCGATTCCGATTGCGCCATTGCCGTGCAGGCATGCACACTCGTATAGGCCAAGAACACAAAACGAATCCAAAAGTCGCCAGATAAAACATCCCCAAGAATTACACATGTACGAAGGAGGTACGACCAACCATCCATAAACTCCCATTCCCTTATGCAGATCTATCCTTCCTGTGTGAGCCACCTGCTGTCCTAACCTTCTGGCTCCGCATATGTATCAGATGCTCCGCCGGTGGGTATTGTCGGAATGGTCCGAGTGCAATCTCAACGTGGATCGTTTGTTGAGTAAGCGATGGAACAAAAGGCTCCACCATCCCTTTTCTAGATGGGCCCAGCTTTTCTTTTGGCGGACTTAAGGGCGGCCTTTCATCCAAAAGCCAGAAGCCCACACAGCATGGTTCCCTCGAATCGGGCTGGGGCAGGACAATGGCTCCCCCAAACTCGCCTATCAGAGTCGCAACAGGAGCAATCTGGTCAAGCAAACTCTTTGTTGTCGCCCACTCCCTCGCCTTGCTTGTGGCGAGGTTCATCCGCCGATTCCCTCTTCTTCGTCTCCTCAAGGACAGCTTGTTGGTCCGGGCCGAATTGTGAAGAGGTCTCAGACCGCAAACTGGCGACTGTTGAACCGGAGCTTGAACTAGAGGGAGTCTCCACATCTACCGCGCCTTTGGCCTTTTCGTCCTGGCTCTCCTCGTCTCGGGGCTGAGGAACGTCGGTAGGGGCAAATCGACTCCGTTCGCGGATTCGTCCGCCGTATTTGTAGAAGACGAAAGGGACCGGCGCCAGAAGGCATGCAACACCTGCAATAAGTGAGCCACCACCGCCTACTCCAAGAGTTCCGAACATTTGATTCGTGAAGAGGGGTGCAGCCGCTCCACAGGCTGATCGACAGATGGTGTTTGCGGCCATTGCGCTTGCGGTGTACATCAAGTAGGTGTCCGTAAGGTAGTTCAGGTAAGAGACGAAGATGAGGAGGATTGAAGTCGACAAGAACGTGCCAGCGATGGTGGGGACAATCCAGTGAATGCTGTTGAAGTTGGCGGTCCAAGCAAACCAAAACATCGTAACAGCGAACATGATGCCGCCAATCATGGCGACCGGCAATCGATCTTCTGGCTTGCGCGGTATACCAGCCAGCATTCGTTTCTTGTCCCGCGACGAGACGTAGAAAATAATGCCACCACCAATACAAGCTCCAATAACGGTGCCGATCAGTGGAAGCTCGCCAACCCCGGAATTCCAGCCTCGCTTCTGCTGGAACACAATGGGGTATATCGTAAAGAGCATGTAGAGCAGCAGATAGACAACCGAGATGTAGATGGCGATGAGGATCGAGATAGTGTCAAAGAGGATCTGCCACGGCCGTATCAAAGCGACCTTGAACATATCGCCCAGCCTTCGCCCCTGTGCTTCGGCGGGGGCCTGTAGCTCCTGATATTCGGGGATTCCCGTCGCCCTGATCCGGCGAGCCTTGTTGATCAGCACAACCGGGGGGAATGTCTCGGGGATGGTGAACATCAGTAACTCCGTCGCTCCCCCCAGCCACAGCAAGACGTAAAATGACCACCTCCAATCTTCCTTGAGCTCGAGGAATCCCGAAATAACAGGCCCGATGGCAGGACCGATGAAGGTCATCATACTGAAGATCGCCATGGCATTCCCACGCTCGACTGGTCCCCAGACGTCGGCAAGCACTCCGGGAGCGTTGGTCAAAGGGGCACTTGCAAATGTGCCGGTCAACAGGCGTCCAATTAGCAGGGATGCAAAGTTGGGTGCAAAGGCACAGAGGAAGTTGAAGGCCACATAGAGGGTGAAAGTTGTATAGAAGACGTATCTCCGTCCGTAGAATTCTGACAAGGGCGCAAATATTAAAGGCCCTGCAACGTATCCAAGCAGAAAGAGAGTGATAACGAGACCGGCTGCGACCTCGGAAACGTGGAATTCTTTAGAGATACCGCGTAGGCACCCCGAGGGGCTGGACGAAGCAAACGTGGCATTGCAGACTAGAACGACGCCCACGAGTGTGCAGTACCATCGACGTGCCGTCGACCATTCTCTGGGGTTTTCGATATCGCCGGGTGCAAAGTCGACATGGCCGTAGCGGTTGAGATATGGTCTGATGGCGGGGTCGATCTTGCGAGAACGGTAGGGTTTAGCGACAGGTCTTGACAGAATCCTCTCTATCGTCTCCATGGCTGTTGTGCTGTGGTGGTGGTCTTGACCGGAAGGCGACGTTTGAAGGGAATATATGACGAGGAACTTGCCATGACGAAAGATATTTCAAGACACAGACCTTAGCCCCTTGGTAGCATATTTTTCATAGATCATGCTATGCAACATACCCACTGATTGGTAATGTTCATGCTGGTGTGGGTGTTGGGTGGGTGCTCCGCGATCTCGGGTATACGGCACCTTTGGGCGCCTTTGGCGCAGCCATTGCGTGTCGACGTCCATTCCATGTCCCCTAAACCACGGACGAAAAGCTTGATCGGTCTAGCACGTCATGAATCTCCTGTTGGGCCTTTGTTGATTCGCAGACTCCAGAAGAAGTGCGAGGCTGGACGGGCGCCATTGGCGGGCGGATGTTCCAGCGCCTCCTTTTCAACAACGAAGTTTTGCATGATTTTATCCAATGCGTATTTCGGCAGATCGACCACTGTGTGAAGTTGGAAAAGGTCCAACCCCTGTGGATGTTTGCTTCCTCACCGGCCTCAAAGATGCCCGTTTCGGACAGAATTGAAACGAACACGGACGGGCCACTAACCGAGGACCGTCAGATTACCTCTTCTCGGTTACCACAGCTGCGGTACGAAGTTCGGAGTGGTCTTTGTGCTTCTATCACAGTTAGCATGTGTCTTGGGAAGGCGTTCCAAGCCCTGGCATTAGTTAGCTAGTGGGGCAGATCGCAGTTCGGGCCTCTGCTTGAGCCGAGCATCGTCGAAACCGAGACTCAACGACAGGATTCACCGATTAGTCGTCAGTACATCTCTTACCTGTGTCTCGATCTGGTCATTTGTGCCCGTGGTAAGTCAGCGAGAGTTCGGAATGTACACGTTCCGCTCCATGTTTGGTTCTGTCGTAAGTTGGCGGCTCAACCGAACAGAATGGGGACACCCTCAGCCTTGTGCAGAGCGTGTTGCTTGATATAACCTTTTATTCACCTGTCAGCACGTTTCTCGAAGAGTCGGATCAGGCACCCCATTCGGCCGTCATATCCGTCAAGCGTGGCCTGGTGGGTTTGTTCATGTAATAGGCCATATGGACTGCCCAAGTTTATCTTAGGCTCTACCGGTCAAACTCCGGGCTGTGGCGGCAGGCGTTTATCCTCGCCCTCTACCTTGGGCGACGCCAGCAGCCTTCCTGAGATATCTCTATAGGGACAATGGATAGCGTACCTCGAATCCTCCTCTTTGGGGCTGGGAGTATCGGCGCCGTCTATGTGCTCCAGTTGCAGCGCGCTGGATGTCAAGTCACAGCGGTGTGCCGGTCGAACTATGAAGCTGTAAAGCAGAATGGCTTTAGGCTGCTGAGCAAGCGATATGGCAATGTGCAGTTTCGTCCGGACCTGGTTGTCAGAAGTGCAGCAGAATGTCCAGAGGATATCACCTACGATTTTGTCTTCATTGCGACCAAATCGTTCCCCGGGTCGACGCCGTCGTTAAGCGACTTAATCTGGCCTGCTGTCCGCGGTCGACCTCAGACTGCCATTGTGCTCGCTCAGAATGGTATTGCCATCGAGGACGAGGTGGCCAGGGCATATCCAGACAATCCACTTCTCAGCTGTGTCGTCTACCTGCCTGCGACGCAAACGGAGCAAGGCGTGATTGAGTATCCCGAGATGCTAAATCTCCTCGAGATTGGCACCTTCCCCTCCACCGCCCCGAAATCCCACAAGGCGGCGGCGACCAAGTTGGCAGAACTAATGATCGCTGGTGGCGGCCAAGCCGAAGTCCATGATGATATTCAAGTCGCTCGTTGGGGCAAGATCATGATGAATTGTGCTTGGAATCCCATCTGCGCTCTTTCAATGTCCACCGACGCGGATTTCTTACTCTCATCAACCCCCTATGCTTACGACCTTGTGTGGTCAATCATGAAGGAAATCATAGAGCTGGCCAAGAAGATGGGCATTCCAAATGTGAACGAGAAAGTCGCGGAGCAGAAGCTGGCTATTGGCAAACGACGAGCGGAAACCAGGCAGGGAAGAGAGGTGAGTATGCTGCAGGATGTCAAGAAAGGCCGACTGTTCGAGGTGGAAGCAATCGTGGGCAACACTGTTCGTCTAGGGCGTCAATGGGGAGTCGAGATGCCTCTGACAGAGATGCTGTACGCGCTGGCCAAAGCAAGATTTGACGCCTTGGTGCGCGAGCAGAATGGAGAAGTCACTCAATGATCTTGTCAGCCACAGACCAACACTTAGACAAGTTATAGACCTAGCCCGGCTGTGCTCAGCTTGGGACTAAATGCTTCGAGCTCCTGAGCTACTTTCCCTGCATTCATCACTTGAACGGCACCTGTTCTCCGGCACTGCGCCGGATGAAGTCTGCCGTCCTGTCTGTCATGCTCAAGAATGGACTGTGCCCGCTGTCTACCGTTTCCTCGCGGATTTTCAAATCAGATCCTCTCTGGGCCAACACTTCGTTTGCGTCCGCAACCATCTTCCTCTGCAAATCCGCCGGAATGGCGTGGTCCTTCTCACAGATCAAATAGCTCGTTGGGATTTCCCACCACCCAGCCCCTTCAGCACTCGGCGGCAGCACCTTACAGCGCCAGGAGTGCGTCTTGATCATGGCCTTGCAACGATCTGCTTCTTCAGCTGACACATCGTTGTAGAAAACGAAGTCAGGGCCAGGTCCGCCGACGTCAACCAGATTTCCATCCGCCGAGACGACATGGATTGGATGGGGTTTACCTCCGAGGGGTGCGAGAAGAGCTGTTTGTGGCGGATACAGGAACGAACACATCATTGCAATGGAGGTGAGACGGGGTCCGTTCTGGTTCTGGCCAACGAACGAATAGGCTGCGCTCTGGCCTGGAATGCCACTGTATGAATGGGTAATGAGGACGACGTCGTTTCCTGAGGACAAGATGTTCCTAATCGCGATGGAAATGGCATTGGCGTCAGTGTCGACATCGGTATTTGGGGGATCCTTGGGATCAACTGTGGGCAAGGCCAAAGCTTCACATCGATATCCGTGCTGCTCGAGGGCTTTCATCAGTGCCTCGTAGTGGGGAGGCGAATGCCATGCACCAGGCAGGAACAGAAGCGTGGGCTTTGCCATTTCTCGCTTTGGAGCTACAGTTGAGGTTCTGATTGAAGCTTGAGGGGTATCGCTGGCACCCAGCTGGGATAGAGTTATATACCGGAGTGGAACCGGGTCAGGCCCTCTGGGGGCTAAGGCGACCAATTCTAAATACATTTTACAAGGATGCTCGTGTACAACCCCTCCCAGCCTCATGTTGCACGATCGATTTGTCAGATGAGTTGCACCACCAGCACAGACGACAGAGTGTTTAGATGATGTGTTGGGAATTCTCTGAACTCAGGGCGTTGGCTTGACAGGAAGTCTCAATGTCTTTCTACCTACGGAGGATGACCAGTACTAGGACCCCATGAGGTAAACTGAACGATCTAGGTGCACTGTATTGATAAATGTGTGAGGCGTGCTTGAAAGCTTATGAGCTTGGTAGAACAAGGCTGCATCTCAGCCTCGTCAAAAGTCCCGAGGTTAAGGCGTTTCACGTGATCCGGCTCCAGCGATCAATGACGTCGAGCGTGTGGGCGCAGCAGGAGGACCTCGACAGCTTGAGATAGCAAGAGTTGGTAAATGTTCTGGCGTGTCGGAGGTGTGATGGACAAGGCGGCACAAGATTTGCAAAGTGGAAATGTGAAGACATCAACGGGTTTGACGAGTGTAAAGAAGAATGGACGAGCCCATTGAAAAAGAGTTAAAGAGATAGAGAAAATTTTCTGGCCGTGAGACACCGAGACCGGAGAAGACGCTGAAAAAAAAAATATTATGCGCCTCCCCGCAACCATCTCGCTTCTCCCTGCTAACTTTTCCCCCTCCAAAGTCCAAGACTCAAGCCGCATCCACAATTCACTCCCACTTTTTCTGCTACAGCTCTCGCTCTGGCATCATCTTCCCTGCCACCGTCCCGTCAAATCACCGACTCGCCATTTTGACTCATTATTCTGCTGCCCCAGACCTACATTTACTCCCCCCTTCACCTCACCTCACCGCTCACTTCCTCTGTCTCTCTTTCTACTCTGACACCTTATATTAGTTCTGGTGCTTCGTCCCTCCTCTACCAGCTCACTCCCTTCTCTTCACTCACCGCTCAAAATGTGTCCTTCAGCCGACGAGGTTGACAGGAACGGCGTCAACGGACAGACCAACAGCACCAACGGCCATTCAAATGGAGTGAATGGGAATGCCAGTATGGCGACCTGCTGCCCCAGTTGTGGTGCCTCTCACTCACAAAGGTTTAGGTCACCCTGGCTATACTGGGATTAACACCACCCCCACTCCACGGAATGCCAGAAACCCCTACATGCCCGTGGGCGATTTCCTCAGCAACGTTAGCAGATTTAAGATCATTGAGAGCACATTAAGAGAAGGCGAGCAGTATGTTGCGACCACCCCGCCCCGCCAAGCTGGAAAGACGCTGACGTCTGTTGCTAACAGGTTCGCAAATGCCTATTTTGACACCGCTAAGAAGATTGAAATCGCAAAGGCACTGGACGAATTCGGCGCAGACTATATCGAACTCACCAGCCCTGCCGCCTCAGAGCAATCTCGCAAGGACTGCGAAGCTATCTGCAAGCTCGGCTTGAAGTCCAAGATCCTCACCCACATTCGATGTCACATGGACGATGCGAGAATAGCAGTTGAAACCGGTGTTGACGGCGTTGACGTCGTGATCGGGACATCATCCTTCCTCAGAGAGCATTCTCACGGCAAGGACATGACTTATATCAAGAACACTGCCATCGAAGTAATTAATTTTGTCAAGTCCAAGGGCATCGAGATTCGATTTTCTAGCGAAGACTCTTTCCGATCTGATCTTGTCGACCTGCTGTCGCTCTATCAAGCCGTTGACAAGGTCGGTGTGGACCGAGTGGGCATTGCCGACACTGTGGGATGCGCTTCTCCTAGACAAGTCTACGACCTCGTACGAACATTGCGCGGTGTTGTCAGCTGCGACATTGAAACCCATTTCCACAATGATACGGGTTGTGCTATCGCAAACGCTTACTGTGCTCTAGAAGCTGGTGCTACTCACATTGACACCTCGGTTCTCGGGATCGGCGAGCGAAATGGCATCACCACGCTGGGCGGGCTCATGGCCCGGATGATCACGGCCGATCGCGATTATGTCAAGAGTAAGTACAAGCTGGAGAAGATCAAGGATATCGAGGAGTTGGTTGCCGAAGCTGTCGCCGTCAACATCCCCTTCAATAATCCCATCACCGGTTTCTGTGCTTTCACCCACAAGGCCGGTATTCACGCCAAGGCCATCTTGGCCAACCCGAGCACATACGAAATCATCGATCCCGCTGATTTCGGTATTGGGCGATACATTCATTTCGCTTCTCGCTTAACCGGATGGAACGCCATCAAGTCAAGAGCACAACAACTCAAAATTGAGATGACGGACGCGCAATACAAGGAAGTCACGGCAGCCATCAAGAGACTGGCTGATATCAGACCCATTGCAATTGATGACGCAGACTCGATCATCCACGCATACCATCGTAATGTCAAGCTGGGCAAGAAGAACCCCGGGAGTGAGGTGGAACTGCCCAACATGACGGAGAAGGAGAAGAGACTGCTGGCGGAGAAGCAGCAAGAGGAGCAATCAGTTCCGGAGAAGAGACGCCTAGAAGAGACTGTTGATGACCAAGTCGCGACCGAACAGGCGGTCAAGAAGGCCAGAACGGCCGGTGTCACGGCATAGACGGCGGCAAACATTCCATTCAAAAGAGATATACATGCATTTGAGCCGGAGTTTAATAGGCTGTCTGAGAAACGGCCTGAGATGTTCTCTGAAATAAGGAGACCTCTGCATTTGAAATCTGTGGCCCCAGCCGGATTTGCACATAGCCACGGACCAAAGGTCAGCTGGGGCTCGATCTGGGAAACAAAAGCAAGAATAGGACCAAAAGGGCAAGCAGGTCCATAGATGAGTGTGTACGTCCATGATGCAGATGTTTTGATCAGCCATAGGCTCTTGTAAAGAAGAGGTGTCCATCCACCGGTGCCTGAACGAAATACGAGAGCCTTCCTTCGGAACATCAATTCGCCGACGCGCGGTACGAGGTATACGAGGAACGAACCAGCAAGACGTCAAACTGCGGAGAAGGTCGTTGACTCGTTGAAGCGCGCATATGAAAATCCACCATGCCTGTCGTCACATTTGGTGACAGTAGAAAAATACCCGTCTCCATCCCCTCTCTTCCTTTCGAGGCCAATTCATCTTTTCTATGTCTCGTCGATGACCCAGAAACATAGTCCCATCATGGGCGGCTCTTCTCCCCTTCCCCTCAGCTTGCAGAGCAAGTTCCAGCGAGCTCGAGCTGGCCATTTGGCTCGCTTGAGGGACTACCAAGGTAACTTCAACATGTACGTCTGCCCCGGCTCTGCCGTGTGAACGTCTGCTCGAGACGGCCCTGCCCGGCTTGCTGTGATGTCCAGTCAGCTCAGTTCTAAACACCCATTGCAGACTTCGTAATATAATCTTCATCGTCTTCATCCTCCGCATCCTCCGCAGATCGTTTTACTTTCTTCGCGGCCACGGCCTACTTGGTTCCCTCGCTCTCCTCTACCACACCACACACAAAACCCTGTACAAAATCCTCCTCAACCTCCCCGGTGTACGGTCAAAGGTCTCCAAGCAACTTGCTGCGGCACGAAAAGATCTAGAAGATAAACTTGCCCCGACCGGTCCCGGCGTGAACCGATACCTGCATCTTCCCAAGGAGCCATGGACAAAAGATCAATTACACACCGAGCTGGAGACCTTGGCGTCAATGAAACGGACGCGTTGGGAGGAAGGTAAGGTCTCGGGCGCAGTCTACCACGGGGAACAAGAGCTGTTGGACATTCAGTTCCAGGCGATGCGTTACTTCAGCGTGGCCAACCCCATCCACGCGGATGTATTCCCCGCCGTCCGCAAGATGGAAGCTGAAATCGTCGCCATGGTCCTCGCCATGTTCAATGCGCCTGATACAGGTGCTGGAGTGACCACCTCGGGAGGCACCGAGTCGATACTGATGGCCTGCCTATCGGCCCGACAGAAAGGGTACGCAGAAAGGGGAATCACAGAGCCGGAGATGATCATTCCGCATACCGCACATGCTGCCTTCTACAAGGCGGCATCGTATTTCGAGATAAAGCTACATGTTGTCCGTTGCCCGGTACCCGAATATATGGTCGACATATCCCGCGTTCGCCGTCTGATCAACCCCAATACGATCCTCCTTGTGGGCAGTGCCCCGAACTACCCGCACGGCATTGTGGATAACATCCCAGCCCTCTCAAAACTTGCAGTGACGTATAAAATCCCCTTGCACGTGGACTGCTGCCTGGGATCTTTCCTCATGCCTCACCTCTCCAAAGCCGGATTCCCCTCCCCGTTTGCCGACGAAGGAGGATTCGATTTCCGTCTCCCCGGCGTAACATCCATCTCCGTGGATACGCACAAGTACGGTTTCGCGCCCAAGGGAAACTCGTGCGTTCTGTACAGGGACAGACAGCTACGGGAGTATCAATACTTCATATGTCCCAATTGGTCCGGCGGTGTCTATGGGAGTCCCTCCATGGCTGGCTCAAGACCTGGGGCGCTGATAGCGGGATGCTGGGCCAGCATGATGGCCGTGGGCGAAAAGGGCTATGTTGACGCCACGAACAAAATTGTCACCACGAAACAGACGATCGAAAACGCCGTCAAGGAGCACCCGATCCTGAAATCGACGCTGGGGATACTGGGCAACCCGATGGTCAGCGTCGTGGCGTTTGAGTCGCTCGACCCACAAATATCCATCTACGACATCGCCGACGCCATGTCCAAGAGACAGTGGCATCTCAACTCCCTCCAAGATCCCCCTGGCGTGCACATCGCCGTTACTTTACCCATGACGAGGCCCGGGGCCGTGGACGGATTAATTGACGATCTTGTCGCAGTGGTCAAGGAGGAGAAAGAGAAGATCGTGAGCCAACAGGTCACGAGCAGCGGCGTCATAGGAGGTCCAGTGGTGAAGAAGGACAAGGGAAATGGCACCAGTGCGCAATTATACGGCGTGGCGGGCAGTTTGCCTGACAAGAGTATCGTGGAGAAAATGGTCGTGGCATATTTGGATACGTTGTACAAGGCTTGAGGGGATGTTTTGTCGCAAATGCCGGGCTTTGGGCTGATGATATGGTAGGGTGTGGTATGGTATGGTATGGCATGGCATGGGGCTCCTCCTTCTGTGCGCCGTCCTGTTTCTAGGATGAGATTGCAGAATTGTGCAGAAGGAAGGAAGCAGATGAGGTGGGAATGGTCCGGCAATCAATCAAACCAGCTCAATCCCCCAGTTTTGACCTGGCCTGCAAAGCGTCTGGGGGGGCGAAGCGAGGAGAAATGAATTTCTCTCCCTCCCCACCCATCTCGCTGCTTCTGTTCGAGTTTCTACGTCTCCTATTCCTCCCTTGCCTCTTTCCATCCCTGTTCTTTTTTCTATTCGTGTTTCCACTTCTACTTCTGTTCTAACTGATCTCTCAACCTGCACGACGTGTTTAAGGGAAGCGAGCTAGCAAGCAAGCAAGCACGGCGAGCATTAGGGAATAGAGTACGGGCACAGTGTCAGAGGCAGAAAATTAGATACATTCGTCATCATCTAGATCAACGTAATTAGTTCAACCCTTAACTCCTGGATGGAACACCTCGTCGTCACTGACTCGCCTGAAGTGCCACTATAGCGACGACATCATGAACGTCTTGAGACGAAAGGACTGGCCTGGTGTGAACAAACTTTCCTCGCAGCGCTACCGATCACTGAGCGCTACCTGTGCGGAGCCTCCGTGGTGAGAATCTCCGAGAATCCCTTCTGAACAGAATACGCGGTTAGCAAACTTAGTGATAGTAGGAGCAAGATTCAAAGAACTCACAGTCGCGTTTGTGTCGCTGCTGAACTGGGAACCTCGCCATTCCCCTGCGTTGCTGTCGGTGGAAGGGAGTTCCTGGACAGCAGTGCTGGCTGTGTCGGAATATACAACTGACGTCGATGGTGCGGGGGGCGAGGCTGGGGACGTATACATTGGATGCAATCCCTGGTGAGGTTTGGGGCCCTCGTATTGGGTCATGGGAGCATATCCGGCAGCAGGTTGACACGTGTAACCCATTGGTGCCTGTGCAGGATAGTTTCCTACAGGGGGCCTCTGGTACATCACAGGACTGGAAGGCGGATAGAAGTGTGGTCCGGTTGGCGGAACAGGTTGATAGTGTTGGCCCTTCGCGGCACTGTTCTGGGCTGTGGCCTCTTTGTTGCGGTTTTTTCTGTTCCGGCGGCGGTAGCAGAAGAAGATTGCCAGAGCTAGGATCAGCAAAAAGACAACCCCTCCGACAACTCCTCCCACAATTGCACCGATGTTGGTTCCTCCAGAAGATCCCAGGTCGATTGGGGGAGCGCCGCTGCATAATTTCCTAGGCATTACTCCGCCTTCGTCTCCAAAGTCCTGACGGATGGCCTCGGACAGCCGGAATTGCTGCTCCTCGACGTCCAGAACGAGATAATTCATTGTGAGGAAAGGGATTCCCCAGCTGAAAACGTAGTTGCCCTCATCACTGTTTTCGTTAGAATAGTTCTTTGCGAGTGCGACTATCTCTGGGTCATCAGCGATGACTCTATTTCCGTAATCGTCGTAGTCGTACTGAAACTGGAATAGCTCACTGGCGGGGATCGACGTGCTATAGCCATCCTTGATAGTGAAGTTGAGACTTCCAACTGGTGATGTGGCATATGTGTACGTGCCCAGATTTTCGTCATAGAAGCCGTTTGTGGCGGCGCCAAATAGGTCCCAAGGGATTTGCGGAAACTCAATAAAGCCGAGCATTGGATTGAGAGAGACTTGAAAATCTGTGATGTTGTTATCCATCAAAGGGATAACTCCCGCATCCGAGACCCAGACCATATTCTGTATCTGGACGCAAGTCACGCATTCGGGAATGTTGTCAAAGGTAGAGAATTCGGTTGCTTTTCGGGCATCGTTGTAACCTCCAATCACCAAGTCTCCATCTTGCTCATTCCCAATCGCACGACTTCCAACCCAGAGGCCCCACGACTTGGATGGTGCAGCTTCGCTCTCGACTGCAGCTTGAAGAAAACTTGAGTTCGAGCCAAGACCAAGGGTACTATAAGATGCTAAGAGAAAGTGAGCCTACGCGCAGACTAGCATACTGACAATGTCAACTTACCCCATTCTTGTCCATCATCAGTCACAAAGGGAAACCCCCAAACCACAGTTTCGTTGTACCCAAATCTAAGGACATCATTGTAGAAAAAGTAGTATGAGAGGTCCGCCGCGTTGGCCTCCCCACCAAGTGTGCCGTTCCAGGCTGTGCCGACTGATACGCTCTCAGTGCTTGACAATTCTGGATCAAATACTCCACCTTGTGCAGCTAGACATCCGTAGTCATTTTGCGAAGAGCAATGGGTCTCATATGACAAAATTGTGACATCGTAGATTGAGGGCCGAAGTGAAAATCGCTGTGGCGGCGTACCAATCTCAACCTCAATACCCCATGCTGGGGCAGCAGATCCGCCTGAACTCAGGTTGTGGTACCCCAAGTTCAAAAGTAGGGGCTCAGCGAAGTTTTGGCAAGTGGCCAATGCCATCTTCAGGGTCTGGCGCAACCAAGGGAGATTCAAGCCGACTGTTGTCAACAAGGAGTAGCTTTAGAAACGTGTGCTGTCTGGATGGACAGGGGACGTCGATATATCTGCAGCCTCCAGACCGCTGATCAGGGTTGAAGAAGGCTGACACGATGGAGTATCAGCGCCCATTCCGAGTTTAAGAGAGCTCGACGTGTGTCTGAGGGGTTTAGAGCCTGCTTCGAATTGGCGTTCTGAAGAGGGGCCAGGAAGCGATGAAGCGCGCACACCACGCCCGGAGTTCTCTTGGAAATTTTTTCGCAAGGTTCGACATGGGGGGAACGTCGAATTGGGCGACATGCCGCACATTCGAGCAGGGAAGCAGGCATGGTCAAGAACAACTGGCCCCCATTAGACCGGCGTCATTGAGAGGACACGAGGTTGTGAGGACTGTGTTCGCACCAAGATTGCCGCTCAAGAGAAGTGAATTCGACAAGGACCATTTCCCTGCGGCCATGCAGCATACAAACATCGCTTTTGTGCTCCCAGGGAGTCCCGTTATTCATTCATTCCAGATTCGCTGTCCTCTCACGTACCTGGATAGAAGTCAAAGCTTCAAATTGGATCATTACGCCCAAGCACAGCAGCAAGAGCAGAACATGGGGGCCAAAGCAGGCAGTGCACAATGGCGGACGCAGCTGCAATACCAGAAAGTTGAGTCGAGAACGAGTCAAAGGGCGGCGAGGGCTCCTTGAGAACCGCCAAGTGATGAAGCGTTTTGTGAGGGAAGGACAGACCTGGAAAAATCGAGTCGGGAGAATAAGGCGGCCAATAACTTCCGATATTTCATAAGGTACCAAGGCTGTCCAAGGCATGGCAATATCTTGGAGCTTCTTGGGGGCTGCTTGGCCCTTTTACTCATCTTCCAATCCGGCCTGCTCTTTTCGTGCACTGTCCTCGTACTCGCTTCCAGCAGACATAGCGAGTACGTGTCCAAGTGAAGGCAGCCGCAGCTGAGGTGCTAGCGAGTTGTTATGTGGTGATCTGTATTTCGGGGGCCTGTGGATAGAAAGTGAGAACTAGGGAGAGGAAGCAACTGCGACAAGGCAAGGACAAGGCTGAAAAAGTGGGTGGGCGGGGCGAAGTCACCTACGGCGGATCTTTGCGGCTACTCTTGTCGTCCTCCAGAGCATTCAGGCAGAAAGTGCATTTTCATGAATAAATTTCAGAAGTGCGCTGAGCAGAACGTTACGCCGTAGATTATTGCGCCAACACTGCCTCTTGCATCGTCCAGTGTGGTCTGGCATGCCATCTGCTTTGAGGAGACAGGAAAAACAACAGCAACGAAGATGGACGAGCCACTTCTCGACCGCAGGTCTCGCAGTAAACGAGAACCTACCATACCAATGCTCACGGTGGCAGTAGTTGAACGCGCACAGGCTATCCATCCACAATGTGCCTCGTCACTTTTGGTTCGCGCAGTTTGATCGCTTCTTCAACCACTCTACCGACCGTGTCAGGCATTTGACAGTCCCAGATAAGGCAGATGATGCCGTACGGCAAGGCCCAGGTGTCTTTTTGTGCAGGATAAAGCCTGGGAGACTTCAATCCGCGACCAAGATTCAATCAAACGCAAGCTGTCTCCTGCAGGCAATGATAAACGCATCACTCAAGGTACGTCCGCTTTCGTGAATCTTTGCTTTTCACCTTCGACAAACACTTCAGGCGAGATGCTCTAATGTCGTACAACTGTACGGAGTTGCTTCGTCATTTGAGCACCTGGTGTCCTATCGCTGCCATGTTTGTACACACTGTCGTCTCGAAATCTCAAGGATGCCAAACAGAATCTAGTGCTTGACAAAGCGGTCCGCTGCTACCTTCACCGGCCTCTTCCCAGGTCGACGGGATATCATCAGGGGCAATACATTTCTGCACAAGTCTCAGAATATCCATTCCACTCGTTGCGGGCTTGACCGTGTATCGCCTTCTCCGAGCACTTTTATATTTCAGCTTCGTGTTCTATCACATTCTTGAAAAGGCCTTGACTGTTGAGGTCAAGTCTACCCAGACAGCCAACAAGGGCATGCGAGGTGGCTTTCCTGGCACTATATTATACCCAAACCGAGACGTCGGACAATACCGTTGTCTCAGAAAGTTGTGGGAAGTTTTGTAAAGCAGCCTCCTCAAACTTTGGAGCAGCCGACATGGGGCATGCGGCGTGCGCCAATAAGGCCAGGCAACAACGGTCTGAGCCACACGCTAAACCTTTCCGTTGGACAAGACCAGCCCGCACTTATGTAAGTCCAACAAAACCACCTTGCGTCCCGGCCACAGGAGTGGCCAAATCAGGACTGTCCCTCGCCGGATGGGGACCGCACTGCCGGCGTCAAAGTGCCTGTGCCGCTTTTCCCCCACAATTTAATCATGAAGTCGATCCTGCCACGCAAGGCTGTCGTCCTCCAACCTCGTCGACAACATTAAAGTTTGCTTGATCTGAGTCTGGCAATCTGCCGGCGACAAGCATTCTCCAATTTTCATTGAGACGAGCAGAGACAGACAAGAGGTTACTGGCGCACTCGTTTAGCTGGCCCTCGAACCAGCCTAAGCAGCCCCACTCTGATCCTATCTTCCTTGTTGTTTATCGTTTTGTCCGGACCAGCATCACGAGAGCCTGCAAATTTGCAAGATTAGTGCTCTGCCGACTCGCGGCTTGGGATGGCGGCAGTTGCACAATCCCAACGAGTCGACAAGCTGTCGAGATCTCGTTCGTCGTCGTCGGATCATGACCGAGGGAGAGGAGGGGCAAAAGCCCGCCAGAAGCCCAACCTTCCTGCCAAACAATACAGCAGCTCAGAATGGAAGAGGATGCGGGACATCATCACGCAACTTTACTGCGTAGAGAGGGTTACGGTGGCTGAACTCCTCCGCCGCTTACACGGAATGGGGTTTGAAGTTAAGTATGGGCACCTATTCCTTAGCCTCTGCCTGGAGGATTCGATTCACCTTTTCAGCCGTAACTTAGCCCTGTGACCCTCCTATAGAGCTTGAGCTCGAGCTCGACTCCGATTTTCTTTAAAATATGGGTTTCAACTCTTTGTTCCTGTACTTGAGTATTCAACAACGACACTCTTTTGTCCGTCCTCATGCTCGACAACTAGCAAGCTGACCTTCATCTTGCACAGCGAGCGCATGCTGCATACGCGCATCCGCAAGTGGAAAATTGGTCGCAACCACAAATTCAGCGAAATGAGAATGGCCGCTTATCGCCTCGCGCAGTATCTTGATCGGCAACAACAGCGTTCGAACTCATCAGGATCCAGTCCCACCGTCGCAGCAAGCAAGCGGGTTACCATGCCGAGCTTCGAAATCCGTGGCGAGCGTGTTAACTACATGGAATTAATGCGCTATTTCCGGCGGAAGAAGATCAGCGATCCTGTGAGCTGGGTCAGGGAGCACCAGGACAAATTGGACCTGAGTGAGGACGTCGTCGTTGTAGATGCTGACCCCGCTGCTGAAGGTGAAGCCAGATCCTCCGAGGATGATGAAGACACTTCTGAGCGCGAGCACGAAGAGATTCAACGTCTGATGGAGGCGGACCTAACAGGCCTAGAAGATGTCTCCGCCCCCTCCAACATTACTCATCAGATGTCGAATGTGCGCTGCCTCGACGACCAGTACTCCACATTGATGGGAGCCGTGCATCACGCCGATATCAAAAGCCCCTCCCTCTCAGTGCCAGCATTCCTTCGGCCACAGACATCCTACGCTCTCGAGCAACTAAATTACAGCATGATGACTTACATGAGGTCATACCTTGTGTCCCCCGTCTCAAAGAAACATCGGGAACCAGAAGTCCACGCTCACACCGTCCACGCGATCTTTGCGTCCAAGATGCAGGATGGGATGTCTCTTCTGGCCAACGTTTCCCCAAATACAGCAAAGACTAGGTCAAGAGGGCCCGAGCCAAATGCCGCACAAGCGTTTACCAGCTTCGAATACGGCTTCCAACTAATCCACAAAATTCTCACCGACCACAGTCCCATGTCTCTTGCACTGATGCTCAGCATAGTTTGCGAACTGGCCAATCGTGCTGTCAAAACCGGGATGAAGACTTCGGCTGCCGGGATCCTTCTGGCTAAACTCCTCAACTACACACATGACATGGCAGCGACTGTTTTGGGCTCTGGTCACCCATTGACCGTATTCTTTGGCATCCTGGCAGGAGAGTACATCTACCCAACAGTCTTGCCTTCTTGTGGACCGTTACCTCTGGTGGAACTCATTCTCGCCTCTCTCAAACTAGCAGTAGCCCAATTTAACATTTGTTCCCCTTCCATCCCTGCCAACAATTTGGAGAGAATACAGGATTGGAAGCAACTCTACCTTCGTGAACGCCTCTGCGACGCTCTCTATTACTGCGGCCCGACTTACCAAGTCACCCGGTCGAGGATGCGGAGCCAGCTCTTTTATGATCAAGAAGCAAGATACGGGCCTACTGCTAGGAACGTATTGTGGACGTTGACCAATGTGGCGGACGACTGTCTGGCAAATGGCGAAGTCGATCAAGCGATCGGACACTTCCAAGAAGCCCTTAATAGAGCAGAGGCCTTGATGGAAGGCTACGGGCGGGCGAAGACGAGCTTTGCGGCCCGAGAAGGCTTGGGGAGGTGCTGGATGCGCAAGGCCGAAGAGGAAGAAGCGGGAGCACTCTGGCAACAGGAACAGAATCGAAGCCCGAGCTCGGCTTGTTGTTCATGTCATTGCCATTATGCCGCCGATTCGAAACCGGCCTCATCGCGTGGCAGTTCTGACAACACGGGAACATCGACGCCGACATCATCAGGCTCCTCGTTCTCAAGCACGACATTGAAACCATGTGGAAACAGGAAACCCCACAGCCCAAGCCAGAGGCAGAAGCACCACCGATATAAATCCCGCAGTCCACACCACCACGACTCTCCCTCGCACAGGCGGCTGCAATACCTCAGACGCGCACACGTTTACTTCAAAGAGGCTGAGGACGA